GGGTTGGTGGATGAAAGATGTTTTATTGATCAAATGTCAAAGGTTACAATTAATAATAAAAATAAAATTTCATGTGCTGAGCTTAAAGGTGTGGCAATTGGAATCACATCAATTCGGATTCTGGTTTTGTTCAACAATCATGGATATAATATAGATGGGGTTTAGCAGGTCCTGTTCAGTGCAGTTTCAGAGGTATAAAGATACAAGATTAAACTTTGACTCTGATCGCTAATCTCTCGGATCAGAATCAATAAAAGATTAGAATCTGAAGCCACATAATAATCACCGAATATAAATCCTTAAATGCACATAAATATCATTTGAGCCTTAAAATTAATCGTCATCCAGCAACTCTGCCCTATGTGCATGTAATATTTCATGCAATAAATTTCAGATTAGCTCATTCTCTCTCTGTTCTGTATAAATAAATTTATTTTTTGCCTCCAAACTTTTATTTACTCAAGCAAGCAGAAAAGAAAGCAACAAAAAAAATTGAGGATAATGGGAAATAAATCAAATTATGACGAAAACAAATTTCTATAATGAGAAATTTTATGCTTATTAGGTGAAAGGATAAAGAATGAAGAGAAATTTCCTAAAAAAAAGTATTAGAGCGAGTATGTAATGGATATACATTATCATTATCATCGTTTACTTTCATGAGCTTTATTGAAACATTCATCTACCTTTCATAAATATTTTCATGAAGGAATAATAATTGAGAACTTTTTTGAATGGAAGAAGGGGTGAGAAAAATTAAGTGAGAGCTAATCTAGTGGAATTTTGAGAGAATATAGAATTTGATATTGGAAATTTTCAACAGTGTAGCTCTCAATTTCTCTTAATTTTATGCTTGCTCTTCTCTTCTGTTTGTAGTTTTCTTATTTCTCTTACTCTTACATATAGAAAAGCTTTACACATTATTAACCTACCAGCTAGCAATAAATTTATAAATTAGGTAGTTAAGGGGAAAGCGGTTCTTAACTTCTTTGACAAATGAAAGAGGAGGGTCTAAAAATCCAGATTTTTGCGTTATGTATTAAGTGAACTGCTACTAATGACAAGTTCTGATAAACTATTTTTAACCGTAGAATATTTTAAGTGTTGCTTAATAAATAGAACTGCAATTTTCTCGAAAGATTTTAATTGTCAGCATTTGCCTAGTCAAGAAATTATTTTTAAAATTCATTCAAAAACATCAAAGAAATACTGGAAATATAAGTAACAACGGATTTGGAATAAGTTTGACATTTTCATAATTAAATGATTTTAAATAGGATTTAAATGTTTTTGAATTCTTGTTTAACAGCACTCAAACCAGCTATGAGAGATTTGCAAGGCAAATGTGAAATCCTTTTGAATCCCAAAATCATTCATCAAATGAATTAATCCTGAGTTTGCACGCCTTGAAAATTCGTTATTGTTTTTTAAATTATTTGTGATGTTTTTTTACATATTTCCAATATTTGGGATGTGTAGCCGATGTTCAGAGTCGTAACCGATGGAAGATATGAATATTTTACTTGAACATTTGAAAGTTTCTTATGCTATAAAATCATCAAGTTCATTTTAAACAATGCACTTTACTTCTTTTTAAATATTACAACTATCCTATTTAATTAAGATCGAAAAATACTTTTTTGTTGCATGCAATTTTCAAGGAAATGCAAAACAAAAAGAACTTAAAAGAGCACAAGAGTACTTTTTTAATAAAACTTTTTTCTTACCTTTCTCTATCTTAGATTAAATGGATACTATAAAAGGGCAGAAAGGATGTTTATTACTTTTAAAAGATGCAAAAAATTTATTTATAATTGGATAGCTTTTGTTTTTAAATTTCAATTAAATGACGAATCGATAGATAAACTTAAAACTTTTAATAAAAACTTCATATTTTTTCAGATTGGAATTTTTATAATAATTTAAAAAATAAAAACGCTTAAATGGTTCATTCACAAATGACGTCAGGAAAAAAACATCATTTATGAACGAACCCTTAACAATTATATGTTCACATTTTACAATTATAAGGTGAAAGGCAATGCGTTGACATTCCTGAGGTGTTTATTCAGTCACAAATTGATGGAGGTTATAAATAAATGAATCCAAATGTGACTTAGAAGTGAAAACCTTTAAAAAATTGGCAGAACAAACCATTCAATTAAACTCCATCCCTGAATGTTTATTAACAATATCCAAACTAAAATTCGATTATTCCATCAATAACTCCTTCGTGCTCCATATTTAAAACCATTTTATATTTTATTATCTTAACGAAGTTATCTGAAAGCCATCTGGAATTTTCTTTTAATGCTTAAATTGCACTTGCCAATATATTTTATTGAGAATTTGTATTTATTGCTTGCACTTTTATTTTATTGGCATAAGAATATATATGCAGAACGACTTGAACACAATATGAAATAAAGACGAAAAATAGAAAATTTATCTAATAGGACAATGAATAAGAAAATTAAATTAAGCAAACTTTTGTATCAACAAAGAAGTTGTGAAGAAATGAAGTGCCGATTGAGGCTCAATTCCAATAAGTTTGAACTTGATAGTCTTGCTTTATTAAAAAGCTTTTAAAAAGGGAATATTTTAAGGTTTAATTCTTAAGAGTTGTTATTTTAAAGCTAATCAAAAAATAAATTTTAAACTTCAATAAAACTTTGAGCATCAAAACTGTGCAGTGATTGTCCAGAAAAAATGAACAGGTATAGTTTATTCTAGGGTTTCCAAAATTCCCATTCCCAGTTAAATTTTGTTCTCGGGAACGGGAATTCTGGGAACCCTTGTTCATTCCCAACCTTGACTCGATCAGAAGATTCAATTTGACCTAGTGTTAAATTTTCAATAACCGACCTAGTTTCCAAATAAAATCAAACTAATCCATTCTGGCTTTAAATAGTTTTTTTTTGAATAATTTCCAATAAAGAAGCAAACTGCATTAAAATAAAGTTTTATATCGGGATAAACTCGGATGAATAGCATATAAAAGTTTATATCAATTTATGTTCACAATAATAAAAAATTTAAAATCTATTTGAATTTGCAACAATCTCCACTTATATTCAATAAATTTAATGCAAAATAAATGCAATAAATTTTTAATTGAAAACTTTAAGTTTGCCTGAATTTATTTTCACATAATTCTCAGTCATCGATAAATAAAGCAAGTGGGATGAAAAGAGTAAAATAGAGAGAAAATTCTCAGAATGAAAGCAAAAAGAAGAATCAAAAGAATGCAAAAATTAATTATCTTACATAAAAGTCAAATCATCAACAGAATAATCAATTGTTTTATGAAAAAGGATGCTTCAATGCATGTCAGAAAGCTTAATTTTACTTTTGTTTGAAATGTTTCTATCTGAACCAAATAACTTAAGACTCAGCAGTGTCGTCAACAAAATATCCTAAATCTAGCTAAGAAATTTTGTTTTAGTATTATCAAGCCTTTGATCATCAATAATTTTCAGACCTGATAATATCGATCTTTCTCAGATCATTAAAAGAACCAGAAGTACAAAAAGTACTTAAAACTGTCTAATATTCTTCAGAATCATTTTACCTCGTGCTTCTTTCAAATTCTTCAGCCTTCTATATCTACAGAAAAGTTCGTTTTATGTAGGGTTACCATCTAATTTTCATGAAATTACAGGACTTTTGGTAAAGTTTTTCGAAAAATACAGGACATAGAGTAAAATTCGAAAATTAACGGAAATTTTCGTGAAAAAAATACAGGACCTGGAACAAAGTTTTCAAATTGATACAGGACAGGGTTTTGAAATACAGGACTGTCCGTTGTAAAACTACGCAGATGGTCACCCTAGTTTTATGGCATTGACTTGTCAATTGCTGAAGTAATGTCACATATTTGGGGAGGTTTTTCCGGTACATAATCTAATAAAATGAATGTCTTTATGTCATACCAATAAGCATCTCTTTCAGCATGCATAAATGGAGCGAAAGGAATGTGCTGAATAATTTTTGATGTCCTTTAGTTGAAGTTTATTGAAATAGTTCTTCTTTGTCTTGTGTTATGTGACTGAAAGTGTTCATCAAAAAATATGTTGATGTCATGAGAATTTGAAAACATTTGAGAGACTGCAAGGCAAAAAGTTCTGTAATTAAGTGAAACTTTTTTAATAATGTCGATATTTGACTTAGTCAATAGAATTGAAAAGCTATTATGTGATGCTCAGTAGAAATGCAGAGAAAAATACAAATTAAAATTGTTTTTAGATCATCTCTGTAATCAATCAAATTCCATATAATTTGCACTCTGTCAACCCAATTAAACTTAATTACCATCGAATCTGCTGTCAGCAAATTGAATAAAATTAATAAGAATAAATTACGTGACATATAAAAGTTTTTAATTGACAAAAAATGATCCATAAATATTCGTCAATTGTACTTTTTTAATTTTATTTAATTGCTACATAATTTACAACATATTCAGTATATAATTTAATTTTTATTCATGATTAAATGCATGCATGGTATATTTTTATGTAAAGGAATCTCACTGACCACAGAAAATCGTTGAATAATAGCATTTGCTTCTCAGTTGGATAACAATTTGTGGGAGAAAAACTAGAGTTGGAATTTAGCAGCTCTTGAAATTTAAATTAGATACAGTTTGATTCATACCTAGACAAGGATCCCGCAGATTATAATCTTTTAAAAACGGTTAAAAACGAAGATTCTAATATTTGTATGAAAAAATTATCAAAGATTATAATCTACAGAAGCCTTGTACCTAGATGCTTTAATCAAAAATCAACCTAGTCAAAATTCAAAATTGATTTACTAAAATATCAATAAAACTTACAATAATCTATATCTAAAATAATTCTATTTAGAGATCAATTACGATCTTATTTAAGGAATTTCAAATGCCACCTTCCTATCTATCATCAAACATCCATTCAATACGAGCTGCCAATCTTGTTCAATTTTAATCCACAAATTGCTGAACAGGAACAAACAAAACTTTATTTCTTTTTGCTTGATAAGTCTGATGCATTCAGCATGGATGTAAAGTGGCTCTTGGGATTTGCTTTTAATTCCTTTGGATTACCATCTTCTATTATTCTTCCATTCTCCATAATTACAACACGATCGTAATCCAGTATAGAATATAAACGATGCTTGATGTACAAAAGAGAAGAAAAATGAAATGAATGTATATATTGTGTTGTTAGGAAACCAGGAAATGGAACGGTAAGCGAGATAAAAATTTATTACAAAGTTTCACAAAATGTGGCGCTGTTCCCATTGCATTGTGTGATTTAAAAAGTTTTAATCATTATTTTATAATTGTTGCAGAAGTTCATTAAATGGAAGTTATCAAAGTGGGAAAAAGTTGTTGCTAATAAATAGCCACAAACAAGCTAAGTTCTGTATGAGTAACAGGCTCTTATTAGGTCGTTCAATCAATGGCGAATCACATCAATCTTGGTTAAACAGCTTTAATTGGTCAGTTATTTCACTACTGGGTATTGACATTAAACTCATTAGGGAACGAGCAACACTGAAAAACATTGATTGGAAAATGACAGAGGAATCAACTTGTCAAGATTTTCACACAACTAACAGGAAATGAAATCAAGGACAAAGCAATGCAATAATTGTAAAATTAAAGGCAAAAAACTTACAGCAATTGTAATTACTGTTTTCCCTTTGAATGCATCATTGGCAGCCTTTAGAAATAAAAGTTCAGTTTCGTAGTCGAGATTTGATGTTGCCTCATCCAGCACAAGGCAAATTGATCCTTTGAGTACAGCTCGAGCGAGACAAAATAATTGACGTTGACCGAAGCTCAGCAATGCTTCACCCTCACTAAAATGTGTATCTGTAAAATAGACATAGATATATAGATTCCGGCTATTGCCATCAATTTTAATTTAATGAGACTTAATCGAGAAATTCCGTACCTAATTTATCAGGAAGAGATGATATTAAACCTTTTAGTTGTACCCGTTCCAAACATTCCCACAGTTTTATGTCAGAAAATCGTTTGTGTGGATCGAGATTCTCTCGTATCGTACTGCAAAATAAAATTCCATCATCTTGTGGGATAATTGAAAGCCTGGAACGAAGCTCAATCAAGCGAACTCTCGATATGTCAATATCGTCTATCAATATTTGACCGCTAACGATCTCAATGACGCCAAACAATGAATTTGCCAATGATGATTTTCCACTGCCACTTTTACCACATATTCCAATCTGTGCGATGAGGGGTGAAAAGAACAATAACAAATGAAATTGTTTAATGGATGAAAACAAGGGTCAGACACTCCAAAGTATTGTACGGTATTGTACAATACTTACAATACTTACAATACTTTCCATACAAGTATTGTAGTATTGTACAATACCTACAATACTTACAATACTTGCCATATAAGTATTGTAAGTATTGTAAGAATTGTACAATACTTACAATACTTCTCATATAAATTTACAATACTTTAAAATTCTTACAATACTGAAATTTAATTATTCAGGAAGCAAAGTTTTAAAGAAATTAAGTATTTTTTTGTGTTTTGAGCATTTTTTGTATGCAAAAAACATGGTTTTTGATAAATATTGAAAGTGAAATAAATTTAATTTATAAATTTACACTATTTATTGGAAATTAGCATTAAAAGTTTAGAATTTTCTGGTGAAATTGGTGTAGATCTTAATTTTTTTGCCTTATTTTTTAAAATTGGCTAATAAAGTTCACGTCTTTCATGCAGTACACAAATGAAATGTTTAAATGGAAACATTAATTAATTAATGAAGATTTAAATTCTTGTTAAAGGTAAACATTGAATTTGTTTTTTAAATTGACTTAATTGCAACTAATTCTATGTTCAAAATATGGTTAGAAGCTTGATCAAGCTAAAATCATTATGATTTAGTGGTTTGGAGGCAGTTTAGGTAATCACGAAACTTAATTTTCATCGGGTACGAAAAGAAATGGTCAGTTCCGTAAAAATTTTTTGACTTCAAGATGAATGTTGCTTGATAAAAAAAAACAACAAAAAAAATTTTTGTGGATGTAAAGGAACTATGCAGTTCAAGTGCCTATTCTTGCTTATGACTCATTAAGCTAACGTAGATTACTTCGGTACTGTAATAAAAGACATTTAAGTTTTTAAAATCATTGAAAGCAGGTAGTTCCACATATGCAGTAAGATCCAGACATGCTTGATGAAGTCCAGTTATTTATATGCAAGCAGCAAGGCACAGAATATTAAAAATCATGAATTAGATTTCGTTTAAGTCAAACAGCATGGAACCATTGGTTGCTGTAACCTTTATTAAAGAAATGTTTGGATCTAAAAGATCCTGTTGCAAGATTCTGGCCCAAACAGGATCAACTGCATTCTTACTTATGAGGAACTGCAACTGAAAACTGTTGATTTGAAAAATAATTTGAGAAATTTCATACAAAAATTTTATATGGAGGGATTTTAAAATCCCAAAAAAAATCCCTGTGAAAAAATGATTTATATCAAAATCGAGAAAAAAATCACTTGGGTAAAATGATTTAAACCAAAATCCCTTTTTAAAATCATTTTTCATTGAGATTTAAATCAAAATCAAAAATAAATTCAGAGATTTTGATTTAAATCGCAAAAAATCTACCCACCCCAAACCCACCCTAATTATAGCATCTTGATTTTTGTCCTGGCAATAACAATAAGAGTCTTAATCATCAAGATTTCATGTAAAAATGTTTTAAAATAATATTTTTATTTAACGTTTCCTTCTATTTTCCCTTTTCCGTTTTCAAAGTTCATTTAAAAATTAAAAAATGTTTTTAAAATAATTCAGGGTTGTTAAAATATATTTCCAACATATTTCACATGTGCACATACGAAAATGTGTGGATATATGTGGATATGCACATATTCACACATTTTCACACATTTCCGCACATATCTCATGTGTGCACATATTTTCAAAACACACCAGATTCTATTTTTATCCACCCAGGTTGATTTTCCTAAATATTGATTTTTTTTTTTGTAGACTATAAACAATTCTAAGTAAAACTAGAAAATATTTAATAAAACAATTAATAATTTTGTATTTTAAACAGTCAAAAAATGGAAAAAAAGAAGAAAAACTTAAAAATCTCTAGATAAAGTCAAATTTATATTCTTTTTGAAATCTCAAAGTGTCCTGTAAAAATTACAATACTTACAATACTTGCCATACAAGTATTGTAAGTATTGTAAGTATTGTACAATACTTACAATACTTACAATACTTTCCATACAAGTATTGTAAGTATTGTAGGTATTGTACAATATTTACAATACTTTCATATGTATTGTAAAGTATTGTACAATACTGTACAATACTTTTGGAGTGTCTGACCCTTGGATGAAAATCAATTTCAGTCTGATTGGATGGAATTTTTTTGCATCAATGTGCAAGCTACGTTTGGTGGGTCATTGATTTAAATAATTTTCAGAGCTTGAGAAATTAGATTAAGCATAAAAATTAATCAGAATTTAAGGTTGTGATTCGTTTAAATCGTATCTAAGTCTCTGCAATCAAAATCCATTTAAACTGGAACATAATTAATGGAACGTCATGGATAAAGGTCAAGAGAAGTGAATTTTCTTATTAAATTATTAAATGCACTCAAGTTACTCGCATTCTCGCATACAAAAAGGAAAATACAAAGCAATAAATTAAATCCACAATTGTAATTGATTTTAATTTGTTCGTTAAGATTGTAAAACGGTTCATTGGATTTAGCAGAAATGACTTTATTATTGACTTTTTTTATCCACTTAAGTTTTAAACTGTGACACATTTTATTGATATATTTTTCAAAGTTTATTGTCGTTTTGTTTTGAAAGTGCAGAAATGAAAAACTGCCAACAAATCTGTGATCAAAAAATATCCATCAATTGATTAAGAAACATCCTTTAAATTTCAATTCGACTTTCCAACTTGTTTTCTATTTTCATTTTAGGAAAATCCACTAAGGATACAGCAGTGGAATTGCACACCATAAATTATAAAGCATGAGAACATATATCACTATCAAGTGGTATAGAAGTAAAACAATAAGAAACTATAAAAACAGACCTTCAAGTGTTACAATGCAATCATTCAATAGATTAAACAGCATCAGACATAACAAATGAAGATAAATCCATTAGCCAATTTTTTGATGATAAATTAACAGCAGTCATGGTAAGATTGTTATTGGATTTATCTTCAACAATGTACTGTGTGTGATACTCACCCTCTGTCCTGCTGGAATATTCAAGCTTAAATCTTTTATGAAGCTATCATTTTGATTTGCATGCTTCAATGACACGTTGCGGAATTCAATATCCCCAAATTGTGGCCATCTTTCAGGCAATGTTTCATCTGAAAATTATGGAGATAATTGAAAATCACATAAAGTCAGGATGATGTGCTGGTCAGAGGGGAAATAACTTTGCATATAACCTACAAAAATTGAAAACATGAGCGAACTTAGAAGTGATTCTGCAAGTCAGCTGACTTGGGTAGGTTCTTAGCTGAATAGAGACGTAAATTGGTGCTAATCTCGACTAGATTGTTCAATATTTTTGCTCATAAAACAAGGTCATACCTATCGTACCCAAAATAGGTTCGTTTTTCATAAACTCTGTTCAAACTTTATAAATTATCTATGAATACAAAACGTTCATCATTAATTATTACTTCCCCTTGACAGCATCAACATAATACACATACAAACATTCGCAGCATCCATTTCTTGGTAGTCGTTCTCGATGCAATAACTTATGCGTTCACAAGCACCAAAATACATTTCCATATCAGCAAATAATTTTACGACCCAATTCAAATAAATTGGAATCAGCAATGTGTACTGTAGTGCAAGACCAACGAGCGATGGCAGGGAATCATCCGGTAATATTTGACTCGTTATCAATGCCGTTTGAATTGCAATGAAAACAATTATTGCGCCCAAATAGTCCTGCAAATATTTTAATTTAATTTTGTTTTTTTTTTCTGAGCATTTATGAGTGTGAAAATTTATGATTTGTTTGGGGAAAAGGATGGGGATGTATGGTTATATATATTTAAATGAAAATGCACAAGTTTATGTGAAATTTCGTTATTTGAAATGGTTTTGAAGATTTATTTGTTTAGGTACCGATGAAAATTTACAAAACTGCTTTCTACAAAGATAGAAAATCTAATCTACACAAAGATTATCTAATATATAAAAGCCCAACTCACTGATTCACTGACTCTGGAACGGAAGCAATGTGAAGACATTTGTGAAGACAAAAATTTAAGGAGTGTTGACAAGGTGGTTGTCAGGTGGGTGTGGGTGTCAGGTGTGGGGTGGGTGTCAGGTGGGGGTGAGTGTCAGGTGGGGGATGGGTGTCAGGTGGGGGATGAGGACAAGGTGGGTGTCGATATATTTTGTGAAGCCAATGATTTGAGGGATGCTGACAAGGTGGGTGTCAGTTGTGTGGGGGGACGGGGGCAAAGTGGGTGTCAGGTGGGGATGGGGGGTGTCAGGTATATTTTCTAAAGCCAATAATTTTAGGGGTGCTGACAAGGTGGGTGTCAGTTGTGTGTGTGTGTGTGGGGGGGGGGGGGGGGGGGGGGGGGGGGGTGTCAGGTATACTTTGTGAAGCCAATGATGTTTGGGGTGCTGACAAGGTGGGTGTCAGGGGGGGGGGGGGGGGGGGGGGGTCAGGTATATTTTGTGAAGCCGTATAAAGCCAATGATTTGAGGGGTTAGTGTCAGTTGGGGGGAGTGACAAAGTGGGTGTCAGGTGAGGGGTGGGTGTCAGGTGGGGGTGAGTGTCAGGTGGGGGATGGGTGTCAGGTGGGGGATGAGGACAAGGTGGGTGTCGATATATTTTGTGAAGCCAATGATTTGAGGGATGCTGACAAGGTGGGTGTCAGTTGTGTGGGGGGACGGGGGCAAAGTGGGTGTCAGGTGGGGATGGGGGGTGTCAGGTATATTTTCTAAAGCCAATAATTTTAGGGGTGCTGACAAGGTGGGTGTCAGTTGTGTGTGTGTGTGTGTGGGGGGGGGGGGGTGTCAGGTATACTTTGTGAAGCCAATGATGTTTGGGGTGCTGACAAGGTGGGTGTCAGGGGGGGGGGGGGGGGGGGGTCAGGTATATTTTGTGAAGCCGTATAAAGCCAATGATTTGAGGGGTTAGTGTCAGTTGGGGGGAGTGACAAAGTGGGTGTCAGGTGAGGGGTGGGTGTCAGGTGGGGATTGGGGCCAAGGGGGGTGTCAGGTATATTTTGTGAAGCCAATGATTTGAGGAGTGCTGGGGGGGGGGGGGGGGGGTTGGATCCGAATTTGAGGGGGTTTGTGGGAAAAGTTTGGTGTCAGGAATATTTTGTGAAGCCATATAAAATTTTGTGAAGCCATGTGAAGTTTTGTGAAGCCATGCGAAGCTTTGTGAAAAGACATGGTGGGTTTCGGGGGAATTAAAGTTTTAGTGGGATTAAGGGGGTCCGAGTTTGAGGGGGTTGGTCAAGACATTTATAAAATTTTTGTGAGATTAAGTCCGAGTTTGAGGAGGTTTGTGAAGCCATGTGAAGTTTTGTGAAGCTATTTATAAAGTTTTTACGGGATTAAGGAAGTCCGAGTTTGAGAGAGTTTGTGAAGCCATTTATAAAGTTTTAGTGGGATTAAGAGGGTTCGAGTTTAAGGGGGTTTGTGAAGTCCTGTGAAGTTTTGTGAAGCCATTCATAAAGTTTTAGTGGGATTAAGGGGGTTCGAGTTCGAGGGGGTTTGTGAAGCCATGTGAAGTTTTGTGAAGCCATTTATATAGTTTTTGTGGGATTAAGGAAATCTGAGTTTGAGGGGGTTGTGAGGCCCCCTGTGAAGTTTTGTGGACATGTGAAGTTGTGGTAGGATTGACCTTAAAAACATTATGGTTATTTACGTCTTACAGTTATTTACATAATAGTAATCAAATTTTAACCCTAATAAGAGGCGCCACGGGCGCCTCCGGATAGCCTAGTTTCTACATAAATATTCTGTCTGCATAAAGATTCGATGTAGATGTCTACAATTCTACATTTTTTCCAGGTCTACATCAGAGAAGAATGTAGAATTGTAGACATCTACATCGAATCTTTATGTAGACAGATTCTTTATGTAGAAATAATCTTTGTGTAGATTAGATTTTCTATCTTCATGTAGAATCGATCTTTATGAAGAAATTTCTGTCTCAAATTTATCTGATCCAGACAAATGGACAGAATGCAACACTGTTTTTAATAAAACAAGACTCAACTCTTCAAGCAAGATAGGCTAAGTTTGGAAAAATAATGAAGCCAAAAATAAAATATTTTAATTAAATTACCAAGACAAATTCGTAAGTTGAAAGTTTTTTCCATTTTATCTAATTTTTCCCCGCAATGAACTCTAAATTTTCAATAAAGCAATAAATGTACAATAAATAACATCTGCAAGCCCTTAAAAGCTAATGTAAATTGCCAGAAAAGCTTTCTTTCAGTTAAAAGCTTTTTTATTTAAAAGTCTTCATTTTGTATAATAAGAAGGATTTGGTTCAGTCTTAGTGTTGAGTCGATAAAGTGCATTTTAAATTTTGGAATATTTATTTTTATCTCGCGACTATGCGAGAATCTGAATTTTTGTTGGTTTACTAAACAAACATTCAAGTCCAGTGCAAGATAGCTAAATATGAATATTTTACAAAGTTGGCAGTTTGTTGTTAATACCTGATTTTATTTAAAACCCCGGCAATCATTAAATATTATTTACCAGAACAGAAGTAATCATCAAACCAAAGTGAAAAAAAAATTCGTTTGAATGAAAAAAAGAATTTTAAATGCAAAAAAAAATATTTAATCTCTTTCCATTTTTTCCACAAATGCAATCGATTGAAGGATGAAGAGAAATGTAAAAAAAAATGGTGTGAGATGTTTCGAATTATTTACCATATATCGAAATAAAATTTAAAAAAAAGATCTTACCAATGCAATTCCAAGCCAACGATTTGAGCAATTTAAAATCACAAATGACACATTATTCTCTTCCATTCGCTTAAATAGTATTTCCATAAATCTCGATTCTTGATTGTACGCTCTGATCGTTGTTAACCCCAAAAATGTTTCCGAGCAATGTGAAAATATTGGAGCATTTGAGATGCTTTCAATTCGTTGTAATTCCCTTAAAAGAAATAAAATATAAATGTAAAAATACCGAATAAGAGCACCGAGGAAGAAGTAAAAAAAAATGTAAAAGATTTAGTGCATGAAAATTAAAATCAAAGTCATTTAAATAATTTATGATCGCTTCAGTCGTAAAGTAAGGAAAAAAAATGTTAAAAGTTGAAGAATTTCCTCTGATGAAATGGAAATTTTTTTTCATTTGCAATAAGTGGCAATTGACTTTTTTCAATTTCTATGTAATTTGCATACATAAATCGTTGCAAGGATTCTGCTTTATGTTGTATGTAAAATATTGAAAATATAGAGAAAATGGTGAGCCACAAAACCATGGAACTACTCGTAAATTTTAATGCCAGGTCGTTTGGATTAAAGGATTTCTCAATTTTTGACTGGATATTTGTCTCGTGTTTTGAACAATCAAAGTATCAAATCTTTCAAAAGAAATCACAAAATTGAAAATTACAACAATAAAACCTTTGTGTTAAGAACCATCAAAACTCCTCCACAACTTCATTGTCATAAGTCCAAAACCTCTTCCCCACAGTTAAGTCTCAGCTCTTATTAAAATATTGATATTCATAAACTCTTTTTACTAAAGAATTTCATCCATCCATGCACTCTTATTCTAAAGCCATACATAAGGTGCGCGCAGTTCGTTTAGACGCACTTAATTTTTTTCAAATTTTCCTTTAATAAACACTATTAAGACAAAAACTATTTTATGTGTTTATAGCTATGACCAATTAGGTTATAAATATAATAAAAGTACCTGACTAAATGCTTTGCTTAAGTAATTAAAATAATTTTTTCAAAAATTACAACAACAAAGTGCGCAGTTCGTTTAGACGCACTTTGAAAAATCTAAAATTTTGTCTTATTTACGTTTCGTAGAAAACTTAATCGTTTCTAATATTAATCTATCAACAAAAACGAGTAATTACTGAGGGTTTTAGAATTTTCCATCAAGTTTTTCCAGAGATTTTCCTTCATTAAAGTTTTCATGTTGCAAAAATTTTGATAAATTATTTATCCAATAATTTTGCGTTAAATTATTATTCTTTTAACTGATTTCCATAGATAATTGTCCATAATATTAGAAAATTAACAGATATTTAAGCTTTCTTCTAAGTATAAGGCGAAAATATGTGAAAAATATAATTATGGTGAAAAATTTCCACCACTCTCATAGATTAATCAACAAATTTTGACAAAACTGTAGATACCATAATAAATTTGAATAGACCAGCTTATTTATCGTATTAAACTTAGTTAAAAACAGAAAACTGCACAGCTCTATGGCTAATGGAACTTGAAAATTTTACTGAAAAATTAAGTTGTGGTGAAAAAATTCACCATAGAAAAATAAAATTTTAAAAAACGTTGTTTTAGGCAATTGTTTCATTTAAATTAGGTTGTAAAAGTGTTTCTGTCTCAAAATTAATCAATTTAAAACATGAATTAAAACCTTAGACATAGTTTTTTTAAAATTTTATTTTTCTATGGTGAATTTTTTCACCACAACTTAATTTTTCAGTAAAATTTTCAAGTTCCATTAGCCATAGAGCTGTGCAGTTTTCTGTTTTTAACTAAGTTTAATACGATAAATAAGCTGGTCTATTCAAATTTATTATGGTATCTACAGTTTTGTCAAAATTTGTTGATTAATCTATGAGAGTGGTGGAAATTTTTCACCATAATTATATTTTTCACATATTTTCGCCTTATACTTAGAAGAAAGCTTAAATATCTGTTAATTTTCTAATATTATGGACAATTATCTATGGAAATCAGTTAAAAGAATAATAATTTAACGCAAAATTATTGGATAAATAATTTATCAAAATTTTTGCAACATGAAAACTTTAATGAAGGAAAATCTCTGGAAAAACTTGATGGAAAATTCTAAAACCCTCAGTAATTACTCGTTTTTGTTGATAGATTAATATTAGAAACGATTAAGTTTTCTACGAAACGTAAATAAGACAAAATTTTAGATTTTTCAAAGTGCGTCTAAACGAACTGCGCACTTTGTTGTTGTAATTTTTGAAAAAATTATTTTAATTACTTAAGCAAAGCATTTAGTCAGATACTTTTATTATATTTATAACCTAATTGGTCATAGCTATAAACACATAAAATAGTTTTTGTCTTAATAGTGTTTATTAAAGGAAAATTTGAAAAAAATTAAGTGCGTCTAAACGAACTGCGCGCACCTTACCTTGTTGATTCCCGGTAGAACTTTTGTACCAAATAATATATGACCAATATTGGTATCGTTAGCAGAATGAACCATTTATTTATCGCTGTGTTAATTAGAACTGCACATGAGCACAGCAGTATAAATTGTAGTAAACGTTGGCTCGTTGTAGCGATTTTCTAAAGTGGAACATAAACATTATAGGCAATATGTAATAAATTCTAGATTTTTTTTTTATCTCACTCTATTCATTTTTGTCTATTCATCAAAAAAATTATTTTTATGGATAGAGTCAATCAAATTTACTGATGCTTTATCAAATACATAACATACCTTATCAATTATGGACATATCGAAGCTAAATCGATTTATGATTCGACCGAATGGTGTCGATTGAAAGAAATCAAGTGAATTACGCATAATGGATTCGACCAATTTATTATGTAGACATTTTCGTGAATTGTTTCCAGCTAATTGCGCTGATGGCGTTGCTATTAATGCAAATATTATGCACAGTCCCGACAGATAGCAATAAACATTAAAATAATAGCTGACCTAAAAAAAGAATGAAAGGAGGATAAATGGAAGATTGAGCATAATAAAAAAAACTAATGTTGAGGATAACAATCATTGCAATGTTGTGAACATTTGCAGACTTTTATTCTTTTGTTTAAAAAAATTCTTTCGTCATTTTTAAAGAGCCAAAAATGCAAAGAAACAATTGCGGAATGACTGTATTTTTTGAAAGAACTCATTTAACACTGATAATAAGTCTCAATTGATCCTGGTGGGTAACGCAATTGTATGCTTAGTAAGAATTCATATAATAAGGAGCTATATCGATCACAATGCTCCACTTTAACCTTCTGCAACCATTTTGTATGTAATATTAATTTTTTAAAATGATTCTAAAGTTTGGAATATTTATTAACATCATCTAACGTCTTTAAACATCTGAATTCAACTAACAAGTAAGAATATTAATAGTATTAAAATATGCTAAGCAGTTACCATGTTTAGATTGAGATATAATAAATGACATGTCAAAGTTTCATCTTGATTGATATAATTTTGTTAAAAAAAACGAATATTACTATTAGTAGAGCTTCAGACTTCAAAACACAATGTCAAAAATTTTCATCATTTTAGTTCCATTACAATTTACTTTTGCTTTTAGGTTTTTAAATATTACAGAGAAAAATAAAGATACTGATGCATTTTGTCAAGTTTTTAAAGATATTATCTACAATTCTTATGTTAAGGAGGGAATCGAGTTTGATATTTATATATATTCAATAAGGAACACGTCAACATGAGTAAAAGAAATTGTCAAAAGCATTGCAGAACAGAAAGAAGTTGAGTACAAATATAAATTGTCTGGTGATCAAAGTTGTATAAAAATTGGATTTTATAGATCAAAAATAATTTTTCTAACATCTTTAAATGAACTGATTTGCTTTCGCAAACTTATTAAGAACAATCTTTATCACGAAAGAATGTCTAAACTATTTATATACATTGACAAGTTGTTATATACACAGTTCGCTAGCTATATGACAAACAAAAAATTTATTTTTAATAGTTTTATTTTTCATCATGCTTATTTTGTTTTAAACAGTGAGCATAGCATCAGTATTGTAACAATTAAAAAGTACTCAAGTTTATATTGCAATTTTCCTCAAATGACAATCGTAAATCATTTTAATAAAAGATCAATGAAATGGGATTGGAAATATACAAATTCCCAGAAATACTTGGATTATTATGGATGCGAATTAGTTCTAATGTTACCTGTTATGTATAGTTCATTCAGCTACCATGTTTGGGGATATGCAAAAATCGTACAAAACAACCTTGAAATTTACGGAATAATTCCGAAGATTTTTAAAATAGCATCAATAAAACACGACTTTATCGATAATTATCAGCCAGTATTGCCATCGTCCAACAAATCTATAATTTATGATGATAATTTAGCGATGGTTTTGGTCAAAAATATTTCAAGAATCCCCAACGTATGCATGGAAGTGCACCCTATGCATGTATTGTTGAATCGAGCATCTTTTAGAATGACATCGACATTTTTGCAGCTAACACATAATTTTCTAGTCACACCGGCTGAAACTTATACGCCCTACGAAAAACTTTTGCTGCCATTTGACAAAGAGACTTGGATATACCTAACAGTTACATTTTTAATAGTATTTTTTACAATTTTCATCATTAATGTCTCGCCAAATTTTATCCAGAATATTTTTTATGGCAATGATGTTAAAACTCCATCGCTTAATATTTTGAGTATCTTTTTTGGAATCTCACAAACAAGACTGCCAAATGAGAACTTCTCAAGGAATATCTTGTTACTCTTTGTATTCTTCTGTCTCATCTTTCGAACTTGCTATCAAAGCATGTTATTTGAATTCATGACAAGTGAACCAAGACGTCCACCACCAAAAACAATTAAAGATCTTAAGGACCGAAATTATACGCTTTATACGATGGAATACGGAACGTTTAATGCAATGATTAAGAATGAGAAGGAAAATTGGTAAATTATTTTGTTAAAAATGCTTGCATTTATTTAGACATTGAGCTGCACACCTGACGATTCTCTTTTTAGTACGCTAATACAAATTTTTCTTTATCAGGCCTGTCATCAAGCCATGTACATATGAACAGTTTCTCTACCTCTACCTAACGCAATCACAAAATGCATCAGCCAAGACAGCACTATTAATATCTGACCTTTTTGAATCATATGCTGAGTACACAACACGAGAAAGTGACAATTGGATAAAATTAGAGGAAGCAATGCATGTCACGCACGGAGGTCTTGTAACACATCCTAATGCCTACTTTTTTGAAATGATTGAAAATACTATTGATTCTCTAATAGACACTGGAGTTATTCGTTACCTTATTGAAAGTGATATTGGAACAAAAATTAAATTTGGACATTCAGATAGTGAGCCAAGTGTTCTCAGCATGAATGATCTCTCGTTTGGATTTAATATTTGGCTTGGATTTTGTGTTTTGTCGGCTGTAAGTTTTGTGTTTGAACAAATTGGATGGCTAATTAAGAATTGTCAATCGAGAGTGGAAATTTTAAGGAGTCCTAGCTCAATTTCTAGCTCTTCGAGTTGGCATCGTTTTTTTAACTAAAGGGTGTGAATAGATAGAATCGGAAAGATTTCAAGTCACGAGTACCCAAATTTGTTCAGAAATGTAGCATAAGACTATGATTCAGCAGAATCGAATAAATTTGTTAATGATTGTCAGTATTGGAATTAAAAACGCTAAACGTAGTACTTACAAAAAGCTTAACTACTACCAAAAGTTTTTATAAATACTACTCTGTGTTCCTTAAATAGCTAAAGATCTTAAGGATGATATAAAATGTCGTGTTGTGTTTAATAGTTATTATTAAAGTTTTTTTTAGCTGTCTATCAATTTCCATTGAGATATTATCAAAATCATTTGACTTCATGATAAATGCTTTACATTTTCAATTACTATTATCATTGTCTTGATCAAATTTCATTCATCAGATTTTTTTAAACCAAGGAGAGTTTACCTCCTTAAATAAACTACATTACAATTCACATATAATAAAAAATACAGAAGGAATCTTAATTGTATACATACATCAGATGAAGTTCCGTCTCCATTGTCGGTCCATTCTCGTAGCCAGACATCTGTATAGACCCTCAGTGCCTGCCATAATAATGTGCTCATAAAGAATACAACTAATGTTAATGTGCCACATGCTCTCGCATATAAGGAATAAATTCTTGCTGGAATTTTGCCATATTTTCTCTCTTCATCAGACTTTAATCGATTTGGCACATATTCATCGTCTTCAAGGTCTTTGATTTTTTTCAGTTTTTGATATTTTATGTAATGAAAAATAAGATAATTTAATAAAAAAAAGTAGCTATTTTCATTCCTATTATCTCTTCGCACACTTCCTCCTGCTTCTGTTTTCTATTATTTCTACTGAATCTAATTCCATTACCGAGAATGCGTTACGTATCATTTGATAAACAATTTTCATTTAATTTAATTCAATGTCATTTATTGTGATGAAGATAATGACTTAGTTGACTAAAGAGGCACGCAGCAAGCAAGAGGACAAAATAATCATAGAAAATCGCAATCAATGCACAAAATAAATCTAATCAAAAGAGAGAGAAAAAATTGCCTTACTTATGCTTGTATCGTCTTCAGTTTCTTCACTACATTTTGAGATGTACGACACGACTCGATCCACATTTTCATCACGTTCCTCGAAAGTGTTATTTATGACTTCCTCCTCGTTGATACTTCTGTCGATATTTTTTCCATTTAATTTCATTTTTGTTCAAATCAACCACAGAGTATAATCAGAAGTTATTATTAAGGCATTCAATGTCATTCAAGGTATGTCAATTTAGTAATTTAAGGAATCAAAATTCAACTCACCGTATTGACATTGTTTTATTTACTGCAGTTTTCCTCCTGTCACGCATAAAATCAGATTCTGCTGTAGGTCGTTGACGTCGTTCCGACATTCGTCGTATGAATCCTCTTATGCTCATTTTACTGCTGAATGACGATCCATCTGATGTGCGATTATTGTCCTTCAACTTTGTGCTATAATTGAATCGTGTTGGTGATGAGATGTGACGTGCTAGTGGCTGCTTGTTCTTTGGTGTGACATTCAATTGCAACGATGTCACACGAAATGCTTTCTCGTTGTCATTATGATGCTTCTTGCGTAGCATTGGAAAATCGAAATCATTATCGTTACATTCATCAATTGGAAGTGGTAAGTCAGACCATAAACGAGATCCATAAAAGTTGCTTGATGTACGTTTGAATGGAGTATAGAGTGAGCTGCGCTGTGGATGAAAAACATTTAAATTTAAAGCTATTGCAATATGGATAAAGAAGAATTGGCGAGCAGAAAGACGTGAATTTGGAGCTGTTATGATTTATTTTGTTTTTTGATTCCAATGGTGGAATTAAGACATTAAAATTAATTTATGACTCACTACTTGAGTTCTTTTTATCACCTCATCATTCAATTTTACCACCCACAAAGTTAATTATTTACTTGTAGGCTTAATTTATGTCTTCTTAGAATCGTTGTCTGTCTCGTGGTTTTTTGATATTGCCGAAACATCTCATTATGTGACTTGCTGCCATAAAATATCAATTAAAAGCTACTTACTGAAGACAAATTGTCCTCTTCCGTTGGATTTCGCTGTAAAATTCCAAACCGTGAAATATTCTTAAACAGCTTCCATCGCTCTTTGGCGTTGCGCCCACTCGCACTGCATAAAATAAATTCAAACCCATTTAAATTGGCTGTGCCGACAAGAAACAAAATAAAATTGTTTATGACTTTCAACATAATTTTTCCTTTACCTCTCCTTTGCATTCTCTTTTGCGATTGCTGCATCCCATTCGCGAATTATTTTTGGATCGATATCCTTAATGCTTTTCATTGTGCCAGCTATTCTTACTTTCATATCATCCATTGCAATTATCTGAGTCAGAAGAGCACAAATGAAAGTGAAAAATTTTTTCTGTTAATTAATTTTGTGGTCAACAGGCATAAAAAAAATTATTTTCAATGTATAAAAGGAACCCAGCCTGGTCAAGCTAGTGATTCATGATATGACATTAAAAATAAATTCACTTTTATGCTTTACGAGCTTTTTTTTACTTTTAAGAGAAATAAAAATTAATTAAAAACTATAAACTCACATAATCAGCACTATAGACTAATTGTGTCTTTTGTGTGACAAGGATAATGGTGCGCTTATATTTTTTGAGAACTCGCTTAATGCATTTTTCAAACAAAAAGCTTACAACTTCATTATCCAACGATGAAAATGCATCATCCTAATTAATTATAGTGAATTAATTTAAATCCCTTTTTTAACAGTTAATTAAATGTGTTTAAAAATGAATTCTGAAAAAGTACTAAAATTTGTTGTACGTTGAACATGGCATGATTATTTGAATAGTTTATTAAATAAGTTGCTAATAAGCTGTAGGAGTTGGAAATAAATTATTTTAAATATTACAAAGTATAGAACAGAATAGAAAAAATAATTACATTGCAAATGCAAATAATTAAAGGCAGAATAAATATTGCATAAATTTAATAAAGGATGATTTGCAAATGACGTCCATTTAACATGCTTAACTTAGCCCAAATCAAAAGTCTGTAATCCCCTGGGGATCTTTCACTTATGATGTCCGACCCTTTAAATTGATTTCTGGACTACCTAGACATGTGTTCAGAGGAGGGTTAGATGACGGAATCAGAAAACCCAAAGTAAAAAAAGCATTTCAATCCTAAAAAATAGAAAATTTGTCCAAAAATAGATCACAAACATTAGGGCACCTCCTTCTATTTAAATATTAGTCTCCATAAAATAGTCAACCCAAACAGTATTATTTCATCAAAACTTTAAAAAGCAAAATAAACACAAATGAGGATAATTATACAAATGCATGAAAAAGCATCAACATAATGCAACCAACAGAACTCCACATTTAATTGAATACAATCACATTAATGGAATGACTAATGAAATTAAATTTTCATCTCACCAGTATGATGACATTGGCTGATGAATAGAAAGCTCTTGCTATTGAAATCCTCATCTTTTGACCACCTGATATATTTTGTCCTCGCTCTCCAATCTGTGTTAAATCGCCGTTAGGCAAAAGCTCAATATCATCTTTCAATCCACACGTTTCGATTATTTTATCATAACGTTTGGGATGATAGGATTCACCGAATAGTATATTATCACGAATTGTTCCATTCTGTAGCCATGGCTGTTGTCCAGAATAAGCAATTGTTGCATATCTGTTGGATAGGAAAGAAAGAAAGAAAGAAATGAGAGGAAGTTGCTTATTTGAATGTACACCGAGTAAATAGATCCAATTATTTATCTCACTTGTTCCATTCAATGCTTCCTGATTGAATTTGCATTTCTTTTAATAAAGCACCGACAACCGATGATTTTCCGCATCCACTTCTGCCCACAATCACAGTCAGGACACCTATTTTTTTATGTTATCGTGTTTATTGAGCAATAAGAAAGAAAATAAATGAGATTTTCAATTAATCGCAATATGATGAGGACATAACTTGTAGGAAGTTGAGTGGAATTTATTGTGGATCTTTAACTTCAGTTATCGTTTTAATGAAGGTCTATAAATTTATAGCCAACTTCACAGAAACAAAAATAAAAGTCAATAAAGTTTTACCTAAAGGAATTGACAAATTGGAAATTTCTAGGAGCTTTGTAGAACTGTCTTCATTTCCGTTCCACGAGAACTTTGCATCTTTTATACATACAGCCACCCCCTCCGGAACTTTGAATGACGGCAATCGTGTCCTTTTAATTGTATTATCACGTTTGTCTGTATTATGTGTTGTTGATCTCATTCTGTTCCTCTCTATTCTCGTGGTTTCATTTAATTGATTCTGTTTCCTCAAATTGACTCTTGTGCTATTTTTGTTACGAAGAATAACCGCATCATTATCGAAGCTTTCATTTTCATCATTTGAATGTAAATTGTCAGACTTTTCCACATCAATTAAACAACTTTTAAGCTTCTCGCTGGGTTTATCGTTTAATTTAATTTTTGTCGATAAATTCTCATCCGGTTCCTCTTCATCGATTGTATCTTGATGGAATAATTTATCACTAATTTGCACTTTCTTCTTACTCGATTTTCCATCAGCCTTTATTTCTGTATCTAAATTTTCGAGTTTCAATGTTTGCTTATCATTAGCATCTTCATCCTCTTCAAGCGACTCAGTGCTTTTACATAAAACCCTTGCCATATTCTTAACACCCTCAAATTCCTTCTCAATTTCTGGTTGCGATAAAAATCTTTCAATACGCTTTGTACTAATTATACTGCTGATTATGATTGGAATTGTAATGGGTAAAATAAACAATGGAACCGTTAATTGATTAAAAAGTGCCAATGCTGTAAACACATTGCTCGAATTAAATTCAATGCTTTCATCATTAATCAATGTGTAAACGGCAAATGTTACAATCGTTATCAAAATGCTCGAAATGTGAGTTAAAAATGCTGGGTTTTGAGAAATGAAAAAAAAAAATGGAGAAGAAGAAAAAAGTTATTTAAAATCGTGGTTAAACAATTAGAACGATTTTAATAACGTCTGGACCCTATTTCCTCTAAAAGACTACTAAATGTATAAATGACTTTTTTGAAACTTCTATATTATGAAATAAAAATAACGAATATTAGAGGTTCATAAGAAAATAGGCAGATTAATAGATAAAATTGTAATTCTGGCAAGCTTTATAGCAGCCCATGAATACTATAAAGCAACAGTATGTAACAAGAAACCGTTAGACCGTGAGTTTAATCTTCACTCGGGTTATGTTATAAAAAAAATGACTTTTTCTATTGAATATTTTAAACTAGTATCAAAGTTAAGTTCTTAGGCGAGAAAAAGGTTGAAACTGCAAGTAAGTTTGAATTATTTTTTATAACTTAATCAGCAAATTATAACTTCTCGACTCAAAATAACTGAAAATAACACCCATTATGCTAAACATTATTCAATAAAAATTTTGAAACAAAATCCTCAATTCAAAAAGTTACTGCTGGTCATCATTAATTCTGACGAGGGTGAAGGAAAAATGAAAAATTTTGGTTCAAAATTAATTAACAAAAAATTTCTCTCTTTTTGTCATCTTTTTTCTGTTTGAGGAAATAAATGGATGGCAGAAAAAAGAGTTTCATTATCAGTGACATTCTTCCTTTCTTGAACTTTATATCACAATGTTCTTCATTTTATTCTTTAGAAAGATACAATATAAATAGCGACAAGTGCGTTAATGATGATTCTTTGAATTATTATTATAAAGAATTTCCCATTAATCATCGTCACATAGGACATGATTTTAATAATTAGTGTCACTAGGAAATTTTGCTAGAATTTTAATCAAATCGAGGAATTGAAGAGCATTAAATAAAAATAAATTATAGTTTTTAATATACTCATATTAGCAATATAAATAAAAGTTGATGAAAAATGAATCTTTTAAGCTTACAGCTCAGAGTTAAAGCAAACAATTTAATGAAAAAAAAAATTCAATTAAGGTTGATAAGTAAATGGAAATGAATAAATCCCTGAAAGCTCCTTTAATTTATCGACGAATATCCTTGTAGATTTTCTAGGGATGGTTACTTGACAGTAAAATACAATTATTTTAAAGATGAATTTTCATAAGAAGAAATTTAAAATTTTTGAGCCTCGGCATTAAGTTTAAGAACTTCTAAATAAATCAGTAGTATTTAATAAATTATTTGGTGAGATTTTATCATTTTTTGGATTTATCTTAAACCCCTCAAAACTCAAAAGCATCCTCTAATTGAATTATAATCATATAAAACAAATTAAACTTATTTTCTTCATAAAGAACTCATCAGATAATTTTTTTAATAAAAATATATTAAAAGCATCATTTTCATAGATTTGTTTTTCATTTGAGTAAATTGAAATTTTTTTTTACTATTGAAAAACTCATAAAAAACTTTTTTACAAACAAGATGGAATAAAAAAAAAATGAAATGATGAAAACAACTTTATGAGGTTTTTAAAATTGATTGGAATTCTTTCAGGTACAGTTATTAAAATGTTTTTAATCCCTTAGTTCACAGCAAATCATATAGAAAAAATTATTTCAATTCTTGTGGCAATCCACATATAGTCTTCATTAAAAATTTTCAATTCTTTAACCACGAAGAACTTTTGATTCTGTTTCTAGTTGCTATTCACATATTCTCATAATTAACAAAGATGAAAATTGTTCAAAAGGATTATTTGAGAGGATAAATAAAAACTTGTGCATTCAAAATGAATGCAGATAGATCAAAGCACTACACCATCATCATTTGCATTCATTTATGCAGTTAAATAAGAACAAACTTTCCTGGTTGTTCTGGATAAGGATAAATTTTAAGTTGGCTGGTTTCAACAAGTTTAACATAAACTTGCAAAGTTCAAAAAAATGAATTAAGTTTAAATCTCAAAAGGTCTTTAATTTACAAAATTTGATAAACATCATTTTATCTAAACGGTACAATTCAAATAACGTAAAATATTCACATCCATACAATCTACATTAAAAGCTTATTTCTTCTTTTCAAGACCATAAATAAGCTTTCATTCCTTTTCCCATATTCTTCTCTTTTTGGATTTTAATGATGCAAATTTTAGTAACAAACATACTAAAACTTTAATGAAATACCATTAGACATTTAAAAGTTGAAAAAGCTCAATAAAGTGACCAACTTCTTGAATTATATCAAAGTTTATGTCATCAAAGAGGAAATAAATGTCAAAGTAATTTATAAATATTAGAAATTTCATTTAAAGGACATTCCATTAAAAATACATATTCAACTTACTCATCAGTGTCCAGTAAAAAGCGTCAATCTTTAAATATTTCAACTCATTGTTTCTGCATTCTGCAATTTTTTCAATAAAAATCTCCTCCCAAGCATTCAACTTGATGAGCTTTATTCTCAAAAATACTTCACGAATTTTCTGCAAACGTTCATCACTTCTTTTCTACTTATCGTCATCAGCCGACATTATCATTATATTAATGTTGTCGTTATCGTCGCAAATAGTGATGCAGAAAAAAGTGAAAAGTTTTACATTTTTTCATGATAAAAAAATGAAAAGAGAGAAAAAAGAAGAAAAAAATTAATTATATTTCATGTTTTCTAGCATTCTCAATTACATTTCACAAATAGCTGTGAAGAGAGTTGAAAAAGCGTAATATGTCAAAGATTTTTGTAGTTTTGAGTGAGGATGTTTTGAAGGCGCCGTTTTTTAAGAGCTTCGTAAGCATGGAAACTCAGATTAAGGACTCTATCATATTGAGCAATTCTATATAATTTTAAGCTTGTTTTAAAGATCAGTTGCATATTTCAGAACTTTGAAAACACCAATATCATCGAGGAACTACTCCTACTCAAGAAATGTAATGGTGTGATCAATTAGAACCAAACTTACGTCATCGTTTAACAGAGATTAATCTTACAAATCATCTAAATTAAGAAAAAAGAGCAAGGAATTGCGGATTAAAACTGATAAAGGTTGTTTATGAAATCTTTCGCACTTTCAGTTTCGTTTACTTCACCACACATCTCCACAAAAGCACAGATACAAAAGAATTTAAGAAATTTCACAAACCAGACTAACTGAACTCTTTAACTAGCAACTATCAGTAACTTTTGAAATATTTTGCAAAACGTGGAAACTTTCTTTTGAATAAAAAAAAAATGAAAATATGAAAAAAAATTAAATTTATGCATCAAAAAATGATAAAAAGCACAAAAGAGATGTAAAAAAGCTCACAGAGAAATTAATTGTAAAAGTTTTTTTTTAAATTGGAGGAAAATGAAGAAGAGAAACAGAAAAAAATTCCTCATAATAATAAATTGCCTTTTCCACCATCTGCAGTTTTTCATTATTCATCTTTTTACTTCATTCTCATCCTTTTGTAACTTTTTATTTTGCATTTACTACAAAGTACATCACTTTGTCTGAATTTACAACTTTTTTTATTACTTTTATGGAAAATAGAGTAGAAATCCAATTTAACTTTAATTTAATAAATGCTTTCCTTGCATTTTTAAATCTCAACTTCTTCCACGTGCTCTTACATATCAAGAATCTCATGAATTGAAGCACAATTTATAAAATAAAGGTTTTTTCATCTCTACTCACCGCTCCATTCTCAGAATTCCGTGACATCTCTCGTCCCACAATGAATTGTAATGGTAGCAGTACAATTATGGTCACCACAGAGCCAATTAAAGAGCTTATACCCAGTTTTAAGTACAGACAATAGACAACAATCACAATCTACATGAATTTGTGTGTGAAATTACAATAAAAAGTTTTCCATTAGAGCGTTGCATGTTGTGGATGGTCCACAAAAAAGGTTGAAAAAAGTCCGAAATGTTGTAATGTGACTTTTATCGTGGCACAATTAAAACGAAATAAAAGTCAATCTTCAACCTTACGGACTAATGCAGCCTCCCTCATTTCAAGCATTCATGTTCATTTTAACAGACTTACCTTTAATGGAATCGACCATACGTAATGACAAATCCAAAAAAAGGACATCACATTGAGTGAATCTTCGGACATTAAGTTAGTTATAGTGCCTGGATTGTTATTTATGTCATCAACTTTATCTTCCGCCTCTTCTGTTTCACTCTTCTTCTCACCAATTTTCCTGTCGACCAAATTACTTCCATTATCACATTCGCCTTTCGCTTTCGATGATGTCATGTTGTTAGCACCAGTTAAAGAAAGTATTTTGCGATAAATTAATCCTTGTAATGCATTTTTAATTTTTATTCCTTCCATATTCACCAAATTGGTCGACGCTTGCGACAATGTTCCTTGGAATAAAAATGAAATCAATACAATGTACGACATTATCCATCCATTTCCAATAAAGTCCATCCAATTTGGATAATTTATCATTAAATTGACATCACTTCTGCTTGTTTCATTATTTAAATTACTCATGTTACTGCCACTAGTGCTGTTACTGCTGTTATATTCATTTGTAACACCCATTCCATTGAATTTTAAATCATGTGCACCTGATGCTACAGCATTTAGCTCTGTTCCAGTATTATTTGCATTCAATAGTTGCAAACTTATATATTCAACAATGTACGATATTGATAGAGGACCAATAAGGCCGCATAAATCACCAAACAATTTAAATATGCCACCGATGATCAACATTTTCCAAGAGCTCTTCAAATAACATGTCCATAGGGACACGTGCTTGTGCTATTGAATGCATTTGTGGAAAGAGAGAAATTTTTTTTTTGAAAAAAATAATATTTTTCTATCCTTTAAAGTTTGCTCGTACAAGCAATAAACAATTTTAACATCATGATCTGTGTATTATCATATTGGAATCTGAATTTTTAATAAAAAATCTTTTTTCGAAAAAATATTCACAGAAGAAGGATGCAAAAAAAGTTGCAATACGATTGCATATTAATGTTAACCATTGAGGACATTGTATGATGGACAACATTTAAGAAAAAGGTTTATAACGTGTCAAGCATATTTTTGATTTCAAACACAGGAGTTCTCACAAATTTTTACAATAAACTATTGACAATCAATGATTTTCGATTCTTAGATAAGGTCAAGTTTAAAGTTTCACTAGAAAGCAACCTCAAGAGTAAAGCTTGAAGCTTTTCAACGCCCATATGGTCCATCTGTCAGTGTTACTCAATAACTCAATCACTGCATAAATGTCATGTGTAAACGAATCAATTGATTTATTTTTAATTTGAATCTTCATGCTACAATTAATGCATAGATAAACTAAAAAACAACAAAATGAAATTTCTTATCTGCCAGATATGCATACAAAAATCCTAATTTTGATTAATTTTCAAATGTTCATTTTAATTATTCAAAGCATTTTTAAACAAAAATTTAAAAAGCTCCAGTCGAGAAATATATGAGCATAACAAATGTTCAGTCAAGCATTATCACAATCTTGCGATTTCAATTTAAAGTTCAAAGCTCGAAAAAAGCAGCACAAAGAGAACAAAAAAATAAACAAAAGAAATTCATCTCAATTAGTTCAAAATAGTTTTCAGCATTCAAAGCACAAAAGACATAGCGGAAATCTGAAACTTTTTGTATTTTGTTCTATCACACATCAAAGGATTCTTTTGAGTCTTTCAATGCACAATTGAAGTGTTGATCTGAATACATGATAATTTATTGCCTGAAGATGACAAGTGGTAAACAGAACAGCATGAAATGGGTTGCAATATTTGTCAATGTCAAAAGCTATTCAGATTTTATGCATAAGATTTATGAGATTTGGTTTAATTTCAACAGAAATTCTTTCTCAGCTTCCAAAAATTTAAGATTTGCCGAAGTTTGCAAAAAAACAGAAAATTAAAATTTTAAAAGCATGAAATTAAATTTCAAAATATTTAAGCAAGTATGACTTGAATGCATTTACGCCAATCTGTCTTTTTTCATAAAAATATTTCTATGCTCTATGTTGAAAATTAGCACTCAACAAACAATTCATCAAGAATCATTTTCATTCGTTACACTCTTTTAATCATAATGCATATTATGATGTTGCAAATCATCAGCTTTGTAAGCTGAAAGTGAATTATGAACAGACATTATCATATCACAATCATGCTTTTTGTGAGAATTAACATTTCATTTCTCATTCGTTTCAATAAAAGAAAAAAAGTTACAAAAAGTAATTTTAAGCTGCAGTTTATGATTCGAGGATGATAATTAAGATGTGGAGATTATTTTGTAATATATTGTAGATATGTGTTGTGTACGATTTGTTACCATTGCAAAGCTTTAATGTCTGAATGCACTTGATGCTGAAATCACACAAAAGATTCTTTAAAAAAATGCCAGAAAATCAAAAATCGATCAACAATTATCTCCACATGGCAATTAGCTCAGCAACAACTCATGCAGCTTTATAGACAGATTTGAAATTCTATGTCAGATTATAACTACTGTACGTAGTTACATCCTGTTCATGAATATACACAGACCAAAAAAATTGGCTAGTTATAAAGCTCCATCCTACCTTGTTAGCATGATACACAAACAAAAATTGATCATAATGATAACGACTCGTGTCTTTCTCCGACAAATTTCCCAAATCACTTAATTCCAATGGCCTTAAAAATCCTTTACATAGTAAAGGCATCAACCACCAAAATGTCATTTTTGAGAAGAATGTTGAGTACGGATTTTTGTATGGAATATTTTCCTGTGAGACTAGAGTCGGATCGCATGACTTTGATGTTATTAATGGTAAACTCTGGAAATAAAATAAAAAACAATTCAATTGATTTTTATTTAAAAAATAAATCATAAAAAAATCCTTTGATAAATTTCAACAAAATTTTTTGATAACTGAACCAAAAACAAATAAAATTCATTGAATGAAAAAATAATATTTGTTTGAGCAAAAATGAAAACTGTTGAAAAAGCTGAATTTTTATTTAACGGCTTTAAAATTTATTTCACAAAACTAAAGAACCTTTTCAGTCTGTCATTATTTATCAAGAATTTCAAGCTATTTTTACCAACCAATTCTACTTAAAATTTGGAAAATATAAACAGAATCACAAATTACAAATTTACATTTTCCAATTTTAATTAAAACAAGATTTAATTTTAATTTAGATTTAATTCCCAAATGCGCTAAGGTCATCAAATTTATAAATTAAATTTGCAATGAATAAACTAATTTACATATAAGCAAATATTTGTGAATCAATCTCGGTCCCAAATGCAATACCTTTTTTGTAGGGTATAAATTTATCAATACACGAGATTGTAATCAAAGTTTAATCATTTGAAAAAAATACCAGCTAATGTATAAGGCTGATTTAGAATATTTTTAGAACCCTAGAGGAAGCAATGGTTCGGTTCCAAGAAATAAGTATTGAAGAATACTTTCAACTTTAATATTAATTAAGCCTTCAATAAATATTGAGAGCTTTCAATTAAATTGATGAGAGGCACATGTGATGATTAAATCTTTAATTATAGTGAAGATATATTTTTGAAATTATGGCATGCTTGAAATTGATCACTCACACTTGAAAACGACTCTTTCGAATTAATTGACAACTCATCATAACAACTTCATTATTCGTAATTAATTAATTCAATTCATCATTAAAATATTTGAGATAATTGAGTCATCAAATGTCACGTGCCCGAATATTAAAGTCTTATTTCAAATGTCAGATTTTTTTCCCCTATTTTAAGAATAAAAAATCCTCTTGAGACCTTCTCGAAAAATATAAAATATAATTTTTCATATTTACCTCAAAATAAATTGTCGAGATGTCAGTCACAATAAGTCCAAAATTTAATACCACAAGTCCACTTTGAGTGACAAAGTTTAAACTCGAAACATCTGTCACTTTTTGTACATCAAACCACTTCCAAATCCTTAGGACGAGTAAAATTATTTCTGATTTTTTAACGAGACAAAAAAGATTATTTTGACAATTTTCTACGTAGCATTTAAGTTGTTTGACATTTTAAGCATCTTAATGAGATTTATGTTATTACCTGAAAGTACTATTAAGTAGATCCATCGTACAACTAGAAATGAGACGGAAGAAGGAAGAAAAGATATTAAAAAGTCTTATTTTTGTGTGTAGCATTAAAAATAGTAAAAAGTTGGTTTTTCGCAAAGATTTGCTAGAGTTTGAGTCTTTTAAATTTTTTCGTGACTTTATGACTGGTTTTGAACCGTTTTGAATAATTATATTCACACCGTTTTCACGTGTGAATCTATTGGTTTTGTTCAGATTGAAAAATCAGTTTTTCGCATTTTGTGAGAAAACAAAGCAAAATTGGTTATAAAAGGGCAAGAAGAAAAGTTTGTGCCTGAAATTTTACATCATTTTCAAAAAATAGATTTCAAATTGGTTGTGGCATTGCTGAGAAAATCGCAAAATACGCTTTCTGTAAGCAAACAAGCAAGCAAGCAAGCAAGCAAGTTAATCAGCAAGAAATCTCAATAACGAGACATCGTAGAGACTTCTAGTTTTTTACATTTGATCCGTGCTGCTCTATAGAAGAGCTGTATTGTTTTTGGGCAAGGTAGGAACAGCCGTTGCTTCAGAAATGGCAAAAAACTTTCCTTTTATTCCTTTAAACTAGAATTTTTTAAATTAAAAGTTCACTGTGATTTTTATAAAATTCAACTTTGGATGAAAATTTTTTTAAAAAAACTTTTAAAGAATATTTGGCATATTCGTCAAGTTTTATATCTTCAAACTTATGCTGAGCGTAGCTCAGCTGACTCAATAGCTTTATATCTTCAAACTTATGCTGAGCGTAGCTCAGCTTACGCGATAGCTTTATAACTTCAACTTATGCTGAGCGAAGCTCCACTGCCTCTCTAGCTTCATATCTTCAAACTTATGCTGAGCGTAGCTCAGCTGACACTCTAGCTTTATATCTTCAAACTTATGCTGAGCGTAGCTCAGCTTACGCGATAGCTTTATAACTTCAAACTTATGCTGAGCGAAGCTCAGCTGCCTCTCTAGCTTCATATCTTCAAACTTATGCTGAGCGTAGCTCAGCTTACGCGATAGCTTTATAACTTCAAACTTATGCTGAGCGAAGCTTAGTTGACTTATCAAGCTTCATACCTTCATACTTATGATGGGCAAATCTTGGTCTATCCATAAGACTTATGATAGTACGGTGTGAATATAATCCGCATTGGGTTTCTACCCGATACACTAGTTTTGTAGCTAATCTTGTTAAGGAACAATGTTGTTTAATGTGGATGACTTGGAATTCCTCAGCCCATGAGCAAAGTCTGTGAAAAGCTTAGGTATGTAATCAGCTAGCTTGACAAAAAGATAAAAAAGAAACAAAATTTCCAAATTTGCTCCCATCCATGAACTATCAGCAATTTCACACCTGTTTCAGAAGAAAAAAGCGCACAACTGTCCAAATAAAGTTATAAACAACTTTTCCTGCTAGTTTTCTTAAGTGATGAAGAGCAAAAGAGTCCCGGAAAAATGGAAAACTTTTCACCAACTTTCACATTGTAAAGCAATTAAGATGAATGAAAAAAAGGAAAGAAAATTTTTTGCCACCCATAAAAAGGAAGGTGGAAGAGAAAAAGAAAACTTTAAAATTTTTATTATATTTTTCTTGCGGTAAAGTGTGAGCAATTAAGTGAAAATTGTATAAAGCAATTAAAATTTACCTCTTGATGGGATTTTGAAAAACGAAACAGAACGATGAGGTGAGGAAGGTGATGTGGAATGATATGAATGTTATCATGGATCGGTGTATATATGTGTATAATTTTATGGGTACAATGTAGCTTACATTTAAATTATTTTCGGTTGCTTTTTCCATTCTTCATTAACTTACATTAAAAGTATAATTAAATGAAAACATTCGCTCTGCACCGTAATTGAAATAACAATAAATTAATGCAAAAATGTATCACATACTCACTTGATTTACAACACAAATTATCCAACTAATTGTTAATGTTTTATGCTTGTGAAAATTTCGTTAAATCGCTTATGTGAAAAATATAAAGAATAACATTCAAAAATTTGCTGTGATTTTAATAATTTGTTGTGCATTAATGGAGCAAATCATTTGTATAGAAGTGATTTCAGTAATTTCAGTGAATATTGTGTGGTCATGTAAAAATCGTTTATTTTAATTTTAATAAAATTAATTAAAAACCAATAATTTGAGGTTAAGGATATCGCACAATAAAAAGTGAAAAGTTGATATTTAGAAAGGTTTTAAAATCAAGTTACATCATGTTTCTATATAGTCATATGAAGGATCAGTATCGGTCGGTATCTCATACATTAAAAGCTCAATATTCAACAGTTTTTGTGTTATTTTACTCAAGGATATGATATCGGAATTGAGGAAATAATGATTTGACTTACAAACATAACAATTAATTATGTGAATTTAAATTGTGCGGAATTGAAAAACTCGTGAGCCTTAAGTGTGTACAAAACCTTTTTGAATTTCTGAGAAACTTTAATTAAAAGTCATCATTGTCGAAGCATTACCTAGAAGATAATAATTAACAGATTCAACTTTTTCCGAACGAATCTCTTCAAATTCAGACAGACATATGTAAAAATTCGATCCATTGAAAGTTCTCTTTTTGCCATCAATTCTACACGAACACAAAAATATGCACCGAAAAAAATAAGCAAAATTCATCAAACTGTCAGTAAGGCAATAAATAAATTCATATTTATGCATTTTTCTCCTTTTTTTCGGGAAAACAAAGTGAGGAAATTAATTGATATCCATGTCCATTTAACGCAATAAAACAACCATATTCACAGGATATTGTGGAAATCCAATTTGTTAACATTCATAAAACTGTCACCTATATTTGTGTGTACATGTAGATATGTATACATTGTTCAATAAAATACTCGTGCTGTGAATAGAGTTTGTATGGATTGGAAGATTTTGGAGAAAATAAGCAGCTGAGAAATGAAGATTTATTTAAATTTAAATGAATCTTGTCTATTTATCAACGAGGGCTTACGCATCGTCTTTCATTGATTTTAATTAAATTTTTCTTCCTGACAGATTGTCCTGTAACCCCTGAGCATCATAAGTGAATATCATTTAAGACATTTCTTACACTTTCAAAACAACCATTAATCCAAATCATCCGGCTGCTCTATTTTTTTTAAGGTTATTACCACCACACGTCACGTACGAGATACACAAATAGACAATAAAACAAGGGCGTGAAATAAAAAAAAGAATTCCAAGTTTTGTTCATTAAATCATCTCACCTGATTTATTCTTACGAATTTCTATAAACCGCAGCACTATTGCCGTCGAAATGATGGATATAAAGTAAAACATAGCACTTTCCGTGTTGTATAATGATGACACTGCTGTCCTTTCATTATTTGTGTGTGTCATCAATAAATAAGCACTGCTCATTTCACAACCTGATATCATGCACAATACAATCAAAATAACCGCTCGTAAATTATGAAAACGCAATAATGTCCTGTAAGTGATGCATACAAAATAAACAAATAGTATCAGTATTATTGGAATTATTGTGATGTAAAAGAAATTAAATTGCTTGCAAAACATATGGGTCCGTAGAATTGAAATATTTATGCTTATTGCACAGATTAAATTTTTTTCCTGGAATGTGCTTTTGGCTTTCTCAGTCAGGATATCAGTTTTACAATTTATCGTGACATTAAGCACCTAGCAAGTTGGATTAGTTTTCGAAGTTGATTGAAAAAAAAAGCGTGTAATCATGAAGCCATCAGCACTATAAAAACTCCAAAACTTGCAAGCGCTTTATCTCTTTTTATCAGTCATGGGCGTTATCCGGAAAAGGACATGCCGATTGAATGACATCACATTGAAAAAAAAAATTATTTGGATTCGTGTTGAATTCTCGATGCGATATCTCTAAAAAATACAGATCGACAAGATATATGGCAAAAACAGATGATGAATTTGAATTGGAGCAAAATATGATACCGATAGTTTATGTGTCGGATAGAGTGAAATGTTTTGTGAATTTTTAATAGCTGCTTGTGCATCTCATTGACTCGTTTTTGCTGTTGTCATGTTACAGTACACTATGTCAACATGATGTGCTTTCAAACAAACAAATCGGATATTCGTTTTTGTTTTATTTTTGGATCTGTGTATGATATTGGATTTTTTTTTATTTGAGATGATGTGATTGAAAATTGTTGGACAAGGCTTGTCGATGATATTGGGGATTTACTGTTCGTCTCAATTCTTCTTAAAAATATCAAAGGCAATTTAATGAATTTCTGTTACAAATGGACATTTAATGAAATTGGAAGCTTGTAAAGAGATTTTTAAAATGAAACCTTAAAAATTAAAAAAATCTTTAAAGCTTTTTAAATAATTCAACATGTATAGTTCGTTATACATTAAAGCTATATGTTATTTCATACTATGAATAATTGAGCTTCGATAAAGCTCACAATCGTAATTCAAAACCACAGCTTATTTAAATACTTATTGTATCAGTTTAGAATTCATTGACTATTTATCTAGTCCAGTGTTATCCAAACTGTGTGCCGCGGCACACTGGTGTGCCACAGAAATTTTTTGTGAATGACGCGAGTCGTATGCTGTGTGAGACTTTGGTAATGGCTTACGCCTAAGATGTGCCGTGGCTCAAAAAAGTTTGGGCAACACTGAGCAGGTCATTATACAATATCTTCTAAACTCTCTTACTGCAGAACACAAATGTACTGAATTTCTCAGAATAATTATGCTATTAAAACCTTTTTAGAGTCAAGACAGATCAAGAAGCCATTTGATTGCTACAAATTCCAGTTACTAGTATCCGAGAATGCTGAGACGAATGTTACAAGTAGAGGGTCGGGTATGATTTTGACATTTTTAAAGATATTCAATTTCCAAACAACTCCTCAAGTTAATTCCCAAAAACTCTTCCTTTCTCCATCTCTTACAGTTTCTCCAAGTGATTATCAATTGCACTATATCTGATGGCCTCAGGTGTACAAACTTCAACCGTGTGCTATGTCATCAAAAAACTAAAGTTTAGCAGATACGAACTAAATCGAATTATCAATCTACGTATTATAGAGTCATTATAATGAAAATTGATAGCACAATATAACTCATGCCGTGCTTATGAAAAGGAAAACGCTGTACAAAGTTATCTCATTTAATTATTTGACATCGCTTCGACAAATTCCACAAGAAGTTGATTATACGGCAATCGTGTTTATGTTAAATACATTTATTGTGTAAATATTCATTCATATATTATATTATAGACACTTTCCGTTCACTAATGATGCACGACATTTCCTTGAAGCAAATTTAATATAGCAAGAAAGTTTTTCATCTTCTTCTCATCATGCTAAGTTGTCGTCATTGTTCTCACAAATAAAATATGTACTCAAAGTTATGTGCTCAAGCTGAGAGGAAACTTTCTTGCTTGCTTTTTTTATTCTGTCTTCAAGGTTTCATTTTTATTTTCTTTCATAAATCCCTAGCGAGACTAACTAGCAAATTCCTAGTCTTGCTATTCTACAACTTGCAATTTACTAGTTATTATTAAAACAACTTACTGTTAATAAATTACACTTGCTATTTACTAGCAAATTACTAGCAATTTATCGTGTAAAATGTTTGATCAAATCTGCTTAAGTTCGAATCTTACGAAAAATCATCAAAAAAAAAATTTCTGCGTCATAAAAAATTTTGTTCTAAATTTGACATTTGCCATAAACTTCACAAGAGCGCGCAGAAATCATCTTTATAAGCTCGATCCACATTTGTATGTAGCTTTCAATTAATTATTTATCTTTCTCAGGTTTACGTGCGAGTCATGGGGGTTCATCAGTATTCGACTTAATTAAATTAAGTCTTTTATTTTTTTCATAGTGTTGTGTACTTTAATTAACTTTAAATAAGTACACACTAATACTTTTACAATAATTTACACAAATAAGAAAAATCAAAAGAACACGTGGAAATCAACGGTTATATTCATTTAAATTTTTTAAAAATTTGCTAGTAAATTACTAGTTAAATTGTAAGCGAATTGACTAGTCAATTAGCAAGTGAAAATGCGGGTCTTTGGCGATGATTTGAACTTGGATTTTGACTAGTAAATAGCAAGTAGCAAATGGAAAGTTATCCAGTAAATTACTAGGAAATTACTAGTAAATTTCTGCTAGGGAATGTTTCATCTGTATTTCAAGTTCTCGTGTTATTCGCTTCATTCAATGTTTAGATTTAAAAAACATTTTTTTTGTGTACGATAACAATCAGATAATATTAGTCAGCAACATCCGGAGATTCTGCTAATTTTTTTAAATTCATCTTATTTGTCATTTCTAATTTTATGTGTATCATACGTACTTTCTTGTGAGTCATGCATCACTTTGTAAATTATGAATTTAAAGATTTTAGACATAAAATGATGGCTATATGATAAACTTATCTGAGCCCGGTTTCTAGGTATGGATTAAACACATTTTAATGTTCATCAATATTTCAAATGTATCTAGATAATATAATTGATCGCTTATCAAGCAGAAAAGCTTTTCTCATTGTTGGCTTGTTTATAAAAATTATTGACTTGATGCATCAGGAATTGGAATGGCTCTTTTGTCTCTTCTAATATGCTTTGCACGTGGCTATGCAATAACAAAGTAGCTCCTGGATTACTTTTCTATTACTTCCACCCTTTAAAAGTAAAAAACTAAGCTTAGAGGTCGACACAGCAAGTCTTTGACTATAAAAACATGAACAAGTTAAAGTCATAATTGCCAGCAATCTCCATCTGTCATTCGCAAATAAAATCGTCACCAAAAACTAGCACACAACAATGTAAAGAATATTTTAAATAAAATAAAAGCTGTTAATTATATTTTTCGTAAACTGAGTGTCGTCAAACACAATTAATCTACAATATTTATCCACTATTCAGCTCATTGATGCCAAATCTGGTGATGATTTTTCATTTACAACCCCAAAAACGCAATTGTTCCATTTCAATAAGCATCAATAAATGCAATTTATTAATTAAATTGAATTTCATTCTCGCTCGCGCATCCAAAATAGCATTGTATTTATTTGAGAGATATTGGACTAGTGTGTGAAAATTTCCACACATTTTCCTTCTCTGACACGCTGATTTTTTGTTTGGCGCTTCACTGATTCACTATAATGTAATAACGTAAAGTGCACATGTGTTTATTTTTGAGAGAATTTTTTTTCCTTTCTTCTTGTTTCATATACGAATATTAACGAGATGATTGAAAATCAATCGATGTATTTTATTTGATGATTTATGGAGGAATTTTTGGTGTGTGGGGGAGAAAAATTGTCGTAATCAAAAAATTGGCATATTGAAATATTTTGCTTTGGAAATCTCATGCCGATTTTAAAGACATTTAGTAAAAATATCAACAAAACCCACATTAGGTAAGTTTAAACAAATTTTAAATGTGTTTTAAAATATTGAAATTGTTTGCAAACTTAATGGACTGATTTGGAGAAATGATGTTTTTTGACTGTTGACAGAATCTAACATAGATTAACATTATTCAATCCAGACAAGATATGATACAAACATGAGTGCAACTAGATTTAAGACTCACTCCTTCCCCGCTGATTAGAAATTCTAAGTTAGAATGCTAGTTTTGTCTTCGGAATCAACAACACTTATTTAAAGCAATTGCGAATTGTCTGCAAGATATATAGATGTGCTCATACAAAAATATCGCAGTTTTTAAACGTCAAAAATTTGAATATTCTAAAAACACTAACACTATAAAAGAAAATTTTCAATTTTTGTTTTGCAAAATTTTCAACTTTCTGTTAAGTTTTGTTGATACAGGAGTATTGCAAATGCTTTGCTATAATTAAAAGTAACTGACTAAAGTCAAATGTTGTTGCATCTGTCGATATTTAAATGAAAACTTGAAAATAGAAAATTTTAAAAATTTTTGTTTGTATAAGTACACAAAAAATAGTATGGTCGAGTATGGTCAAGTATACTCTGTATGAGCCCATCTATATATCTTGATTGTCTGTTTATTCTGTTTTGGTTTTTCCTGACGTTAAAAGCTAATTCTACTATCCTGTTATTCAAACTCCCTTTATCCATCAATCTGCCGACTCAGAATGCTGATTCATAATTTTTGCAAAGCTATTAATCTTTGATAAAATATTTTTCCTCATAACACGATCACAATCTACAAATTTTTGTGTATTTTTCCAACAAGAATACCCTCTCATATTTATATATGTAAAAAAAAAAGATTGGAATTGCCAAATAAATATCCAAACTGTCAAATGACATACCGATAACAATCAATGCTTTTAATATAACTCTATCACATCAAAGTGCTTGTGAGGAAATGATTTTTCGATAATGTTTGTTTTCTTTGATTCTTCTTCTATTCTCAATTATTTATATTTGAAGAGATGGACATAAGAAAAATATCCATTGAGTGTGGTGAAGACTAACATCGCAAAAAGAGATGAGAAAATAAATAAGATCATTATGTTTGTTAACCTAAGCCTTGAATTTTTAAAATAGTTTTTTGGAAAGATTTTTTCTTGCCTAGAGGTTTTTCCAAAAAGTGATCAAAGAAGAATATTTATAAAATTGGTTCCATTCCGATCTGTCATCTAAATTGTAAAATAGCTGAAGTTATTTTTAGAATTAAATTGATATGCTATTTTCAATTTTCGCGCAATTCAAAATTGGATGCTTTATAATCCTAAATTGACGCGTTGCCATAGAATTACAAGAGACATCAAACACGCATCAACCTATTTCGTCAATGTAACTGCATATATATCGCAGGAAGAATTCAACATCGTCCATGTCAAAATTCATTTACTTGATCTGTGTCACAGGGACAAATTTGATTAGGATGCAGGCACACATTGCATGCACAAATATTGTCAGCGATGATATCAATGCAATCAGAAAATTCACATTCGTCATTTTTGCTGTGCGTTTTTCAATGTGAGAACTTTTTTTCGTATGTTTTTAAATCTTTGATTGAATTATCGGCTATTGACACGCTTAAATGTAACATAAAACAGAAACACTCTCTCAATTTATTCACTGCAACAAACGCGTAAACTTCATTTTTTTTCTAGTCCGAAACGATCACGGCTGATGCTCAAATCCAACTAAAATATTTAATTTGAAGTGTGGAATAAATTCTGATTTTTTTTTTCAAATTTGTTTATTTTAGGGAGAAAAAAGCGTAAGTGTAATGTGCATATCTCCATACCTATACATTGCCGGTAGTTTTCTCAGCAAACAGCTGGTTCGACGCTTCGCGTAAAAATTATCGTGAGTAAACAAACGATAGGCATAGAAAAATATAAGTAATTTAAAAGTTTGAAGCGCATATTGCATCTTATACATTTGGTTCTCTTTATAATGTACACAAAATTTGTAATGTGTGACTTGGAACTAAGCTTACACAAGTAATGTGACTGTAGCTTACTACGAGGAGGGATCAAGGATCTGAAACTCAAAATTCACTGAATATAGAATATCTTTCGAGCAATAAGGAGGTGAAGCTTCATTGACCAATGGTTAATAAACAGACCAAAAATCTGTAAGCCTCTCTTTCGAGGATCATGAGCAGTTCAATTACTACTAGGTGATTGTCTAAATCAGTAACAAAGAGTGACAAGGATTCGATGTGATAGTGATTTGATAAAAATCGTCCTAAGTAAAACAACAGTATTACTATAAACTTACAGTCGTTGTCCAGCAAAATTTGAAATAAGAAATAAATGATTTCTACAAAGAGAAACAGTCTACATCCCCAAAGTGAAAAATTCACACCACATTTACTATAATAAACAACCGTAAGATCTCAAATATAATTTAATAATGTCTTATTTGCTTACGTCTTCTCAACGACGTCACACCAAAATTGACATTTTCGGATTTATAACAAAGCAAATTGATTCTATGGTAAATGATTGTGTTTCTTTTGACGCCTTTAGTAAATTTTCTTCCTTTGATATTTGATAACGTCTAAATTTTGTTATTCTTGTTTAAGCACGTCACGTTTTGTGGTGGATTTGAAGAAAAAACGAATCTTTTGAAGATTCCAAAGGCTGTAAAAGTGGTGGAAAAGAGGTTTAAGGATTTTCAAAAAGTCTTATCTGTTAATATTGTCAGCTTTACTTTATAAAATGGTTTAAACTTTATTTCATTGCGATGCATCGATATTTAAATTATTAATACCTAAACTAGCCGAGAAATTGGAATAATTACCTACAGTCGGTGATGTAAATGGTGAATAATATCGATATGACGGTTCGGCTGGCGATTGAAGACCAACGATTTTTCTTTGCTTATCATAAAATGTTGAATTATCACGCGAGAAGTATTTCCTCTCAATGACTTTATCGAAGAATTTCTGAAGTTTGACGGCATTTGTTGAGCCGGCTTGAATACTGCGAAGCTCACGACAATTAATATAAATTTCATCAGCACCAATTTCTTGAGCAAATCCTAGATTCTTGCTCTGCTTCCGATGCTTCTCATCTATCAAGTCATTTTTAGTACCAACAACTAAGATCGGAATCTGTAAATTTAAGTTCTGTCAAATTAAAAATTATGAATTTTAATGACATTGAGGAAGAACGGAAGCACAAATCATAATAAATAGAAGAGAGGAAATGAGTTGTATACCTGACAAATGCCTAAAAATTGCTCTGTATCAAGATCCTCAAGTGATGCATTATTGCCTTTTAATACGTCCTTTCCATCCTTATTAATTATCTCTATTAGCCAATTCTTTAAGTTTTCTTGAGATTTCCTATTTGTTAAATCATGGACCTGCTTAAACATCAATAAAAAAAATCAATTAATCTGTCTAGAGAGTCACCAAACATCCACGTACCAAAATAATCCCATTTGTCTGTTGATAAAAAACACTTCTTGCATTTTTAGTTGACATAGAACCACCAACGTCAAAGAATTCAATAAAAAACTGCTTCTGCTGACTCGTATCCTCCTTATATTCATGTAATTTTACTTCAATTTGGCAACCAATTGTCGTTTGATTATTACTTAATATTTCATGATTTGCTACTATATTCACAAATGATGATTTCCCACAAAATGGATCACCCACAACGATTATCCTTACTTTATCCAATGACATATTTACTTGTTTCGTTGGTCAACAGCCTTATATACTAATCCTAAGCGTAAATAATACGTAAATTAATGAAATTAATACACAAATATTGACAACAGAAAAAATTCACCACAAAGAAAATTTTGAATTTTTAAAAACCGTTGGCATTTAGTGTTGAACAAAAATTTATTATATTAAATCTAAGGATTAAAAATTAAATCTGAAGAATTAAAGGAATTAAGACAGTCGACTCTGGGAAGAAAATAACTGATTTATTATTTTTCTTAAAAATCTTCCATAATTACACAAATTGGAGCAATCAAAATTCTATTTAAAATCTCAAATAAAGTAAATTCTTAGTCCACATAAAAAGCAATCAGTAACGTGTGGCTGTTCCAAAATCCTCAAAATAAGTTCACATTCGGTATTTGTTGTTTGTGCCTACTAATGCGATTTTCATTGGTCTGCCATCTAAGATTCTATTATGATAGGCTTCATGTGCTCGTTCGTCATCACCAACGTGTCTATAAATGATTTCTGCAGTTCCTGGTTTAATAATCTTTGCTGACACGACTTCACCAATGTCACTAAACAATTCACGCATTTCACCTTCCGTGACAGTTTGATCTAAATTATTAACGATAATACGATGACCTTTAATTAAGCTACTGCTACTTCCACTTCTTGGTGGTGATGTGACATTGGCAAATATTCCAGCAGATTCATTTGTGTATGAGCGACTTTTTGGTTCAGCTATAACATATCGGTCGCTTTCGAATCGATCGTCATGATCATCAGGTCTCGAGTTACTTCTCAAAATACTTTTACGTGCTGGTTCATCTTTTGCGTATGCATCCATATGAGCACTCATAACTCCTCTATTTGGATGATAACGTTCTGTGATGTTTCTTGGAGGTAGAGGAATTGGAAGTCGTGTTGGTACGACATAACAGTCAAATGGATCAATTGATGGAGATACCTCACGATTTTGAATAGAGAACGTTGGAAGTTTTGGCATAGCGCGAAGTGGAGGCGATGATGCTCTATAAATGTCATTCTGGACTGTTCTACGCAAATTTGCAACTGGTTTTGTCCTGAATTTATTCAAATCTTCAAGCTCGAGATCGTCATCATCCATTAAAAGATCATCATCCATTCTTAAATGTGCTCCACGTCTTGCATTACTGCTCATATGTGGAATTTGTGTCCTGCCTGTAAGTTGTGCCTTAATATTCGGCTTTCTGACAGCAATTGGCTTCTTTTTGGATGACAGTAACTCTCTTGCATCTTTAATTGTACGTCTCGCACTTTCAGCAATCTTTTCCCGAGCATCATGGATCTTTCTCCTGTTTTTCTGGATTATTTTAGCTCTAGCATCCAAATTAATTCTTGGTGATATTTGCTGCTTCTTCCTTATGATGTTTGTTTTCTTCACAATCTTACCAGAATTGATTACTCTTAAGAATTATGCAAAAATTAGTCATCTAAAGGCAGTAATAACATATTAATTAACTTACTTTTTCTTCTTATCCGATGGTTTAAACTTTGTTTTGTTCTTTTTAATTATATCATCTAAACTTAAGCTCATTGAATCCATATTGTTGTTTCCTGTGATCTACTCCCTCGATTGAATGATTTTGTAGCTTGATAGGATCCTTACTTATAGTATTAAATGAAGATTTATGAAAGTAACGCGATTGTCAACAAAAAAAAGTTTCTAAACACACTCGAAACTTTATAGTTATGAAATAATCAGTTATCATCGTTATGAAATAATCGGTTATCAACAGAGAAAAATACAAAAAAGAAGTTAATACTATAATTAAGGATAAATCAAGCTTTAAACATTATTTAAATTAACTAATAGTGTAGTTTATAGTGAATGGATGATGTTGACAATATTAGTGATATTGTGAAACGTGTGGAAAATCAAAAAGAAGACGAAAATCAGGTAGGCTGAAAGTGACCTTAACAAAAAAAATCTGAACTGACTGTTTACTCATAAACTTAAATCACTTCCTGTACTTTCTTAACATTATTGATCACCTGTATCTCAGTTAATTCTCACGAATGTGATTGTTTAATGATACTCGATTGTTTTTAATGTATATCCAGTGATAGTTTGTGAGGAATTTGAAATACAGTTAATGATGTAAAGTTCAGCATATATTTCATAAATCTACAACATTCACAGAATCAATTTACGTTGATAACCTTTTGACTATAAATAAATTAATTTAATTCGTGTGCGATATCGTGTCATTATTCTAATTTGTATATATACGCATTTCCCACTAGATTCTTTGTGGTCCACATACATTGAGACAGTTCTATACAAAAATACGTCGTCATTCACTAAAAGAGGATACAGATAATAGCAATAGCTCATTTGGCATCGAGAGAAAGTTCTCATCAAATTGGACATACAAGTGAGTAGTTTAATGTCAACTTAATCAGCATCAATTTTGATTATTCTCGTCTTTATTTTTAGATTAAATGATGAAAAGTCAAGCATAAAGACATTGTGGCCTGTCTGTTGTCGAGAATATCTCTTTCTACCTGAATTTAAAGTAAACAACAAAGAATTGAAAGCAAAATATGAGATTAATGATTTCATAGCTAGCGGATCATTTGGAAAAGTCTATAAAGTTCGTCAGCACAACACTAATGACATATATGCACTAAAGATTCTTGAAAAATCTAAAGTAAGTTTGCTCTCCTTTTTTTCGTTTCTTATCAGGTGCACTGTAAATAGCTGTAACAATTTTATTTTTGTTTCACAGATAATCCTTGATAACTACGTTAATCAGTTAAAAGACGAAGTTTCAATTCAACAAGCTATTAGTCATCACCCATTTATTGTTACAAGTCAGGAGCATTGGCAAAACAAAGGTTACATATTTCAATGTAAGTGATTAGCTTATAAGTCCTGAAAGATTTGCAGGATTTTAGAAAATTCAAACTTCAAAACCATACAATTGTGTTACACTGTAAAAACCCTACAAATGTTCTTGGAACCAAACAATATCTAATTTTTACATTTATAAGGTTCTCAAACAATTCAGCACTTATGCACACTATAAAATGTCATTTTGTGATGACACAGAACCGAGTTCAACACTCTAAAAGATTATTGACTCTTTTCAAGACAAAATTAGCTATAGTAAACCCGATAAGTCTCTAATTTGCGCCTTAAGCATTGCCGTGACTTTTCTTTACAAACCTCTGTATTATCATTAATTTCCCTTACTAATTACAGTGGCAGAATACATTTCCGAGGGAGAATTATTTCACAAGATAAAACACTTTACACGCAAACTAGTGCAAATATATGTGGCTGAATTAGCAATAGTCATAGGTACGTCACTGATTGAGTTTCAGTATAAACAAATACTAAACTGCCTTCTTTATTTACAGAATTTCTTCATAACGCTGGCATTATATATCGCGATCTTAAAAGCGAAAACATTCTACTAGATGACAATTTTCACATCAAATTGATTGATTTTGGTTTGAGTAAGTGGCTTAAACAAGGCCAGCGAACACTTACAATTTGTGGAACCAAAAATTCTATGGGTAATTAATTCTTCCATCCTCTAAAAAAACTCACACATAACTTCATAATTATCTCTTAAAATCTTTGAATGAGTCTTATTGAAAAGAAAGTATATAAAATCCATAACTTATAATATTCTGCACAACTTAAAACAGTTAAAGTTTTTAAATCACTCGTGAGAAGATGAATGCACGCTCACAGATTTTTGAATTCACATTGGAGGATCGTCAAATCAATGAGACATTAGCGAGTATCTTTCATACTGTTTTATTTCATCGGAGTCTTGGAAAGTTCATGTACTCGGGAGATTCATCATATTCAGTTGGAACAATTGGAACTCAAGATATCGATTGTGATTTTATTGACTTCACATATGTATGTTGTTCCTCACAGACCCTTGATCGTGCTATAAGGAAAGAAATTAGTAATTTTAGTGAACAATTGAGGAGTCACGAATCGAGTGGTGCGGGTCAAATTAGCTTAGAATTCTTTCAAAAGAAGAAGAATCGATGGCCATTCCAAACGGAGTCAATTCCATGGGAAGTGTGGACTATACGACTTGATTTACTTGAACTTAATAATGAGGATGAGCGGCAAGAATATCGTGAACGTATTGGTGACTTATTGACAGAGAAAATCCTTTATATAACAGAAGTTATGAATCGACACGATTATGTTCCAAAGATGCCTGCACAAACGGAATTAGATTTGATATTTGATACAACTCATCCCGATGTGCAGCCATATTTATTTAAGTTTAAATTTAGCACATCATCTGGTGCTGCTTCGACGTCTGTCAAAAGTACCATGCAAAAAATTATTAAGGAAACACTCAGCTTGTGATGGGCGCTATATGTGTGTCAATTTGTTAGATTTTTATTAATACTTTAAGATCATCATGAATAGAAACATTAACTATGCTATTTTTCATTGTGTCTATCAAACACGACGTGTAGTAGAATCAAGAACAGTTTTAACAAATAAAGTCAGGCAGTCAAATTTGGATGGTTTCAGCACATTTTTGCTTTGTTAAATTGAATTGTTTTGTGATTCCTGTGGCGATTAAGAAGCAAGAAGATGTAACATTTGTGCTGAGTCATTAGAATCTGATTCATAAGAATTATCGAGACAAAAAGTTGAGGTAGTGTAGAGCTTAAGTGTGTCTAGACATTTTTAAAATCAGTTCATTTGATGTTTAAGTAAAAAGGTTAGAACATTTCGTTCCTAAGCCATCTAATCATCTAAGCTCCATTCAAAAGAATACTTTTCAAGGAACTGTCTAGGTTAATACTTGATAAGTGAACGAGCCTTCAACAGATGACTCTGTAATTCTCTTTTCCAAATTCTGACAATCGATATGCATCTGTCATTTACGGAAAGGGTTTGGATCATTTTGGGAACGAAGTGGCTTAAATACCCATTTTTACGTTACTCAATAAGTGAACGAACTAGTTGAAATCTTTGACTATTTTTTTCATATTTTCTTCATGATTCTCAGAAAATCTAACAGACATTACTTAATTCAAACCAAATATAAGACTAGATAATCATTTCTAACCAGATATAATCTTCAATAATTAAACAGACGACCACAAAAAGCACGAACACACATAATGACTCAATTTATTTTGCAAAAATGCGCTTAAAAAGAAGAAAAACAATGTAAATAGAGAAACAGAATCACTGAATGTTATTTTTTCGCCATTGAAATGAATAAACGTTGCAGACAAAAAATCTAATTAAGCTATTTCAAAAACCTTTTTTTCTCTCTTTTTATAAAGAATAAATCTTTGATTTAAGATTCAATTATACACAAATTATTATTAGAAAAAAGAATCGTTAACAGCTTAAAATCAAATGCTTAACTAATTATTTCAATGGAAAATGTGGAATTGTAGAGAAATTCAGACGAGAATGAAAGCTGTAAAATATTTTGTGTTTGTGAGGATTTTTACTGGATTTTTGAGATATCTAACCATTGGCTAGATTATATTGACAAGGGAACTTTGAAGTCAGTCAATAATGTTTAAGTAAAGCCCACATTGGATTTAACTTTTAAAATTCTTTTATTTTGCCTTAAAAAAATTCATAAATTTAAAATTGCGTCCATTATTAAAAGAAGTCAAAGGATTAATATTTTTCTATAGATATAAAGAATTGAAAGACTGATTAGTCTTTGTTATGTGCCGAACCAACAATTTTAAACTTTATGAAGACTTAGTCACTTTTTGATGCACGATTTTGCTGATTTGTTTAGAATAAAAGAGAATTAAATTGACTTGTGGCAGTTCTAAGAAGAATCAATCAGTTAAGAGGTTGATTAGTCAAAAAAATCAAGTAAAGATTCTCACAAATTCATTAAATATTAAATCTACTCATAGATTCAGTATAGAAGTTCAGATACGAAGTCGACTAAGATTTTGTATAGACTAAGGTCATGCATCTTAAATCCTAGTAAGCTTAGCTTTCTGCAAACTAATGTAATGATAAGTTTAACTCGTGGTAGAAATGTGTGATAGAATTTGCATCATTAAAGGACATAAAAAAATATCAAAACATCAAAAAATATTAAGTTTATTTTTGTAAAAATGCTAATATAATTTCTCTGTGAAACTGTAATATATCCCAATTATCTATTTATTCTTTAAAACAGAACCTTAGTCATATAAGTAATTATGATAAATTTACAATGCTAAGAAAAATGAAATTTTTGCGATTAAAAAAATGTTGATTTTTATCTCGAAAACTTTTCTTCTTCTTTTATTGCTGATTTGGAGATGGATGAAAGCTGTTATTCTATTGTGGATGGCTTTATGCTTTGTTTGCTTTTTTAAAATTCAGATTTTCTTTCGGTTTTAAACACTTAAAACTTACTATAGACCAAAAACCTAACCTAGTTCTACCCACAAACCTACTAGACTCAACAATTCCCAATCATATGTGTCATTTCACCGTCTACAATTCATTGCCAGTCATTTTTTGTGAATGCTAATTTACAAAATTAACTGAATGCATCGATAATAATCTTTACAGCACTACTTAATTTCTCCGTTATGCTCATAATATATACTTATCTTTTTTTTAATATGATAATTTTTCGTTTCCTTTTAAATTTTTTTTTCAGGTAAGTAAAATTCAGTTGAAATTAAAATTGCACATCTTTCGTCTTCTTGTATATTTCCAGCACCAGAAATCTTCACCGGAAATGGTTATGATCATGCTGTCGATTGGTACTCATTAGGTATATTAGCGATGAGAATGTTCAATAATAATCAGGTGAGTAATCTCTGCTTATTTACAACATATTGATAAATTGACGACCTTGATCTTGAATCGTATTCCACGGATGAATGGAATTGAATGCATTTTTAAGGCACTGGCGATGAGCGTGTCTAGAATGTAAAGAAATTATACGACACATGTGCCGTAATTTGCAGTGCACTTATTTCCTTCAGATGACATTAAACCACCATTATTTGTGTTCAATGCATTTAACACTGTGTACAGCAAGTTAAAAAGTTACTGGTAAAACGTTAAGTGCTATTCAGGTTGTAGAGCTAGAGGTTCTAGAGGTTGTTCAGCATACCATAGGTTTATATACCTTATTCATATAATAACCAAATCTAAGCCAATAAACCTAAGAAAATACTCCCTTGAATAATATCTAATTACGCCAGACAATCCCCCCAAACCATGACAGACAAAACTACATCCTAGACCCTTATAATCCTTCAATTCTCGCGTTGCATCAAAATAACAGCACAATTGTCATCGTTTTACAGAATCAAAAGTATTAAAGATGATTTCAATGAGCAAAATCAACCGCAATCGTGCTAAGATAATTTGAAAAAATAAGTAATTATGTCCGAGTAAATGAGAATTGTTGAAGACGTCTCACATCCTTTATTATTAATTTCATTGAGCATGCCAAGGACTTTAAGTAAGAATCTCGTATTTAATGAGTTCTATTCTTATGATTCACTAGAATTAATTAATAATAGCTACGAATGACTGAGTAGAATAATCTGAAATAAATAATCAATTATATCCATCAATGTGAAACCTGATCTGCTGCTGCCGAACACTTTAATTGTTTAAACGAGCAATTGTTGTGTGAAATTAGAATGTTTATGGCTTGTTTGTTGGATGAGGAACGTTTTGTTTTGGAATGAAGGAGAAATTTTGGAGGTTTTATTGATTTTTAACTACTGACATGACTTGCTGCTGTGGAATCAGGGTCGGTTTGATGATTTAAAATTTATTATTATTATTTTTATTATTATTATTTATTTGTCGACGTTACCGTCCGGAAGAATTAGTATTTATACATGTTTTTACTTTTTACATTGATTAGTGATACATTTCATATCACTATGGGTGACGTAGAATCAAGCTTCTAGTCTTCAAATCTAGGTTTCGATTAAATTCAGGCTCTCGTTTCAATCTTCTGTGGGCGTGACGTGATACATTTCAGGTCCGTTCTGACAATATTCCATTATAAGGTAATCTTGTAGCTCTCGTTCTTATTTCTCCCGCTACACTTCAAGTTCCTGATCCGTTCCTTAATCCAACGTTGCCCAAAATGGCCAATTATGGCTTGATCTCGTACATTAAGCAGTCGAAGTATCTAAACTTCTGAAAAAGAACAAATTTGGAAATGGCTGGATTCGAACCGACGACCTTCGAGTTGCCATACCAAATTTGAGCCAAGCGCTTTACCTATTCGACCAGCAAGGCACTTAACTGATATTTAAGTATACTATTTTATATTACTTATCAAGCTGCGTCTCAACATAGTTAATTGAAGTCACAACAGTCTGGAAAGGCTTTTGTTTGATGGAAATATTGTAAGGAAAAGTAATTTGATTTCAAAATTGAGCAACTTAAAAAATTTATTAATGAACGTGACGTAATTGAATAAATCTCCAAATCTCTTTCATCGTCACTACAACTCTATAACCTTCATGTCTCCTGAAAATTCACAAAAAGAATTAACAAATCACAAATATTTTCATCATCATATTAAGCATCCGTGCTTAAACTTTATTCCTCAATTAGTATTCAGTCTAATTTACAAAACATGAAATGAAATTTTAATTACAGAACAAGCCCAAAAAGTAATCCTATGTGGACATTCTTCAATTAAATTAATAATGTGAGTTTCGAAATTTAAGGCAATAAGAAAAGAAGTTCGATGAGCATCATTCAAAGCTTATAAGATTGTTTTTAATGTCTTAATTCTTCTCTTCACTTTCCTTTGAGTGACTATCGTCAGCTGCTTTTGCTGTTGTACTTTCTTCTGATGATTTTTCATCTGACTTTTCTTCGTGTGAGTTTTCAGCATGACGTGCTTGTCTTTCGCCGTTGTTTTCGTCGCTAGCTTTTGTTGCTTCTGTGGTTTCTTCGTGGTTTTCATGATGATCTTCAGTGTGATGAGCATCACGTGCTGAGCGTCCTTGTTCCTCGCTTGTTTGCTCACTATTGCTATGTGAATCAGATTGTTGTGTTTGACGTGCTGTACGTTCTTGTTCTGCATGGTTGTCGTCATTTTGGTTTTCTGGTTTTGGTGCATCAGTAGTGTCGTCGTGGTGTTCATGGCTTTCATGATCAGCATTGCGAGCTGATCGTTCATGTTCAGTTGTAACTTCATCGCTGTGACTGTCTGACTTTGAAGCATCTGTTGTCTCTTCATGATGTTCATGATCATGTTCAGTGTCGCGTGCAGAGCGCTCTTGTTCCTCATGTTTATTCTCATCATGATCTTCTGGTTTTGGTGCATCGGATGTCGATTCTGTTGAATTGCTGTCATCGTCGGATGAGGCATCAGTTACTGCTGGTTCATCTGATTTCTTTTGACGCTTATTCTCATCATCATTGTCGTGATGTTCGTCTGAGTGCGATGATTCTGTTGCTGCAGCAGCATTATTTGCAGTGTCATCGTCAGGAACGGGTAGAGTATAGGCAAGGGTTACGCAGATTGCAAAAAGTGCAAATAGTAATTGGAATTTCATTCTGTAGGACGGAAATGAAAATCGTCAATAAGTAATAGTCTAATCAATAAGTATTAGGAAATCAGTTAATAAATTAAACCTAAAATCAATATTCAGCTATTTATGGATGGTAGACATAACCAGTAATTTATGGATAAAATACAGCAATTAATTAAAGAAAAAGTTTGCGTTGTGTAAGAAAAACTTATCCCTTCGGAAAAATCCATAGAAAATTAATATAATTACCATAAATTCTGTACCTCTATAAAATGTCATTAAAGAACCGTATTGCTATTTTTTTTTCGCAGTCGCATGACTCACAGTCTAAATGTAAATTTACCTTGAGGCCTGCCCATCATTAGAGAATAGCAAATTAACTGTCCATCACATGTACACATCATTATCATAAAATTATTTTAGAATAGAATTGAAAAAGTACAACAATCGACTATAATTTAATATAAAAGATTAAAAGCTTTATATTATTTTTTTTTTCGCTCAGCTGATTCAAGTCAGAATTAATTGAATAATGCAAATACATACAAATGTAATCAAACATAAATGCTCATAAAAGATGACGCACAAAAAATTTTATTTTATAAAGTTATGAAACAAAATTAAATTAAAGTTCATTTTAATGTAAATTGGGAGAAATCTTAAACTATTAGGTGAGTCTGGATTGTTCAGGAATGAATGATAATTTATCATAAATAAATTGGAAAGAATTTCCTGAAATAAAATTGCATATTCTATTGTGACTGCTTTCTTATGACCCAGTAAGCTTTCCCCCCTTTTGACAATTGTTCATATAAATCATAATCTATTGCTGCGAGTAAGGAACTAATGATAAATTGAATAATCGTACTAAATATTTTAAAAAGGAAAGTTCAAGAAACCTGACTATCGCTGAGTTAATGGAATAATAGATGATGATATGGGTCATGATTATTTCGGACGTTGAAAATGAATCTTGATTTTATTTGGAGGTCAGTGTGAATCAAAAATGCATAAACCATTCCCAGTCTCACTAAATTTGTTATTTCCTTAGTCAAAATGGAAATTAGAGACGAAGCTTGTCGCTATGATTCACTCAAGTTTGATATTAAATTTAAGATTATTTCGATGCGGTCAGATTAGCAATTACTTAAATGACATTCAACAAATTTTAAGGATTACAAGTTTCATTTCCTTCTTTATCACTAAGCTTCTATTGGATATTTTTGAAACTGTCACGAAATTTTTGGCATCAGTTAAATGATGCTAAATGAAGTTCTGCTTTGTCCTTTGTTTTGTGAAGCTCAATAGTTCAATGAAGATGTTCAATTTAAGCAGCAGTATTGCTAATCAAATTATACTTTTGCTGATTCTTTGAAACTTTGAGTAAAAAGTAACCTAAATTATAAATGAAGCACATTTATCCCTAATACCCAAAACGTTATGTAAAGGTCTTAGTCCTTTTTATTAGAATCAGGTTAGCCTAAACGAACAACAAGGAGAACAAAAAATCAGGAAAACCTACAGAGTTAATTTCGAAACATAAACCACACTTCATTAATCCTGAGTCAGAGCTTGAACTTAATTCTACTTTTGTTCTTAAAATTTTAATTAACACTAGACAGAACTCTTTGAAAATTCAGTACTTATTCAACAGAATCCACAACAATCTTCACTATTCACAAGATAATCTTCAAATTCCATTTCCTTTAACTCACCTTAGTTTTGTTCTTTTTTTATTTTATTTAAAATTTAATTAAGTTTTACTGGAATTTTAACTGAGAATTTCTTTTACTAATGAAATACTTTTTTTATTCACTGACCACCGCTATTATTTTTTTTTGGAAGTCGCAAGGCACGTCTAATCAAGCTGATAGTAAAATCGAAATTGAATTCTACTCATTCTCTCGCGTGCCTTTTATAGTCTTAAAGCTGCCTATTATTCATGCATTTTCATTTGTGTGAGCTGATTGTTGTTCTACCCTGAGTGAGATTACGGCTTAACGTAACGTAGCGATTTTTTGTTTTGTTATTTTTTTTCGAATATACAGAACGTGTAGCATGCGAAGATAGACGAATCATAAAATGCTTGCATTATAGCTTAGTTTTCTTCCTGTCTGCTGAATTTCTTTTTGATGGTCGAAAATATTTTTCAAGTTCAGGCATAAAAATTTAAGATTTCAAGTTCATCTCAATGATATTGACACATTCGATGCTGGAATAGAGATTTTTATTGATTATTTGCATGCAAATTAAAACATCAATAGATGTCGTGCGACTGCTATGTTATTGTCTTGTTATCTTTACAGACAGTTTGTCTAATTCATCCTGTAATTTTCCATCAAATTTTCTTATCAAATTTCACGGGAAAGTTCATAATATTTATAATTTGTTCTGATATTATTAAAAGATGTGACTGATTATAGTGCTCATGATCAAATATCAAAACAATAATTGTGTATGATTGCTGTTAATGGTGGATGATCCCCTAGGTTCTGTTTACTTTGAGTTTGTAATGTCAGGTTGCAGGTTATATAAATAAAGATGATTAAACTTCTACAAAAACTTCACGATAGTGAAACGTGTTGAAACATACCTTAGTTTAGAGTTCTCGTGCAATGAGAACTTCCAGAAAAGAAATTTTTAAAAACATTTCGAAATCGACGAGGCTTTATGAGAACATTCATGAATGATGTCGACAAAGGATTGGTGTCTGTGAATTTTAAAAATCAATTATCAATCTTATTCCATGTGACCGATGACTACCCCAACAAAGTATAAATAATTGAGAATTACGTTGGAATTTTATCCAAATAATTCATCAGATGACTTTGTTATGGCTAACGTTTCTTATAGTCTTCCGCAGTCTAACGAAACTTTGAAGATTTTATTGTGATTAAAAAAATCAATAAAATTATTATTCAAATGAGCTATAAAATTTATCTAAACTCTCCAATGAAAAATATACCTTTTCTCTCTGCTTCCACATAAAAAGCGTGAATATGAGATAAATAAAACAAATAAACATAAATTCATATTTACATCGTAAAACGGTAAAATGATTTCAATGATTTTAATTGAAATACCTAAAATAATCATATCGCAACCATAAATTCCAATTTATTAATTAAAAAATACCAATAGATTCACACGTGAAAACGGTGTGAATATAATAATGCAAATATTAAAGCTGATATGCTTAACAATAACTCACATCGACTGGATTCAATTGCACTATGATGTGATCTTTTATATAAATAAAAACATGCATTTGATCTCTGACCATGTTTTGGAAATCGGATGCAATTGTTATTTTATCGCTGATTATTTTGACTAAAAACTATTTCGGCATTCGAATGCTTCATATTTGTTTAACTGAGGCTCACGTGTATCAACATTTTATTAGATATTAAGTTGCTAGAAATAAGATCATGCTGACATTGTCTGTTTATTATGAGATCTTTCTGAAAACAGAATTAAGCTAATCTTAAATTCATAACATTAATGTTGGAGATTTCTAAGTTGCAAACTTAGTAAATCAAAGATAATATTCGGAGTCGATTGAAAGTTAAGGTTAGCATAGTGTCTATTCAAATTTCAAGATCTCAATTGTATAAACAGTTTATATATCCTGAAACGTTCTTAGCAAAGTCAGACTAGTCACTGAAAATTCCCAATCTAATAGCTACTCCACATCTTTCACAGAGTCTCAATCTCAAACTCGTCTGAACACGAAAACTTCTCAAATTCAATTTAAAACGATTATATCGTTGATGACAGACGTTTCTGCTACAACGTGCGAACTTAGCGCCATTGAGATTATTATACAAAAAAAAAACAATTCCAGTAAATGCATGAAAATGAATGTAAAGTAATTTGTTATTTTTTTGCTTCTATGTTTTGACTAATTGTTATTTTATTAATCATTAACAACCAGATATATATTGTGCATAAGTAAAAAAGTCACATTTATTTTTAAATCTTCTGACCTTTCTAACATTATATTCCATTCGTCTTCCTCATCAATTTGCTTGACGTTTAATATTAGCAGGGAAAATTTCCTCACTTTTTATATGTGCGTGTGAACTGCGATGCTGAGATGTAATAATGATAGCAAGATGTAGGAGTTCATTAATGCCTGATGTGCACTTGCTTTAGGTGAAAGTGATTTTTAATTCTAACGTAAGATGCCTCGGGTAGTTCCATGAACCTTAATTTCAAACTTAAACTTGTTGTTCTACTGAGACATATTAAACGAAAGAAGCTTTCGTTTCTGTGCAATATTAACAAATTTATGACAGTAAGATTTACTGAGCTTATATGCTGATTTTGTGGAATAAGCTTCATACCTAATAAAGATCAAAACTTTAAAGAATTTTGTGCAAAATTAAATAAAGTCAATACTTTATCCCACTTTATCATGTTATGGAGAAAAAAAATGAGCTCATACTCCTTAAAAAGATCCAAACATATCCCTAAAATGTCACATTTTATTGCTTATATCATTCTAGTGCCATAAACACCCTTCTCACGAAGACAATGGAAATATATTTGAAAATTTCGATGAGCCAGATGACGCAAGCAGGACAATAGAACAAAACGAAAGTCCAATAATCAGACATTCATCAATGTATGGCGAGAACATAGATGCTCCATCCAAAGATTTATTAAATCGATTGCTTGAAAAAGATCCAAAGTATCGATTAAAGTCAATTATGAGTCTTCGTCGTATCGCATTCTATCATAATTTCAATTTTGACGATGTACGTCAAAGAAAGGTGAGTTAAATCAATAATTGACGTAAAATTAGCATAATTATACACGTTACTCTTCTCTATTTAATCAGATATCCCCCAGAAAATTGATTGAGGATGACAAACAAATGCCTTGAGATAGCATTTTCATGCTATAATTGCAATTTTACGCTTTAAATCGCACAAAAAAAAAGACGTTCAATGTTAGTAATATCATCATTTATCAAATGCTGTAATTATGCATTCACAGTGAATTGCAAAAAAATGTATAAAAATGAGAGACGAAGAACAAAATTAAGTATAATGTAAAGTGTGAGGCGCATCAATTTCTCCGCTTGATGTTGACCTTGTCAATTTAATATACTACAATGTGCCTTCTTTTAGTTTAATTGTCGCTTTTCTCATTCTATTCTTGTTCTTTACACTTTTTATTCTTATAGCTCTTTCATGATCAATCCAGGTAAGGTGGAGTGGAGTTTTAAATTAAAATTAATTGGCATTTTTGAAATTTTATCGTGTTGCTATGAAGGAAAGCTTAAATCATTCTTATTTTTGGTCTGAGGATGAAGATGTTTACTAAAATAAACTATCTTTACAGCATGCTTCAGCATGAGAAGTCCAAAGAGCTCCTAATGCTGGGTTATAAGTCAAGAGATTATAAGTCCAAATATCAAAGTCACTAAAGGTTCATTTTTGTATTTGGATTTATAACCCAGCATCCTGATCAAATAATCATATTAAGATTCTTCATAAGTTTAGGAAGCTTGTGTTCCTAGCTTTACTGAACAATTATGTTGAGTATCGTTCCTGAAGCCATTGCTTATCTGTTTTTTCACATCTCGTTTAATTATTACTGACCGAGATATTTTTAACATCCTATTTTTTTTTAAAATAACCCCCCGCCATAATTGGATCATATTTAAAAATATCTTGGACTTTTTAACTAAAACCCACCTCCATCGCACCAAGCTGGACGATCATCTTTCACATAATAATTATCATTTCTCTAAAACTGCGATGCTCAGAGTAAAGAAATTATTATATACACTTTTCATTCTACTAATTATCCAGAGAATATGCAATTTATAATGAGGGTCATTTCAGTGTGAGCGAGACATTCATATATAAATAAATGAATACATTATCGCTGCTGTTGATGCTTTTTTTCACTTTAATATATTAATTCCAAGAAAAAATTTTAGATAAAATTAGAATTTTGCAGTCATTAGATATTCAAGGAAAAGATAATTAAATAGTTTTTCCTGATAAAATTATCAGCGTGAATTGAAGCTGATTGAGACTAGTTTTTTGTGGAAATAATTTATATTGGCAGAAATAGCTTCAAAATGACAAAAATGTGTCAAGAAACCAGAAAATCCATTGATTTATAGAAATATTACGAAGGAGAAGAAACTCAGGATTAATCTTGAATTGTTAAAAATCTTTGAGCCTTAAATGTGAAATCCCCGAAATTATTCATCAAATGCATCATGGATTTAAATTGGATTTCGCATTTACATGTTTATTGGCTCAGGGATTCTTTAGGATTTAGGGATTTTTAGGACTAATCCTGAGTTACCACGCCTTGGGTATTACTCATGTAGGGCATATTTATAAGGCTGCCTTCATGAACTGTTGTTACTCATAGTCAACTTGTATTCATACACTTGACAGATTTATAAAACCGGCTCCAGATTACAAGAGTAGGAATGGATTTTAGATTGTTATTATTCCTTTTGCCAAGGATCTGCCTAAATCACGTGTTTAAACTCCGTTATTTCTGAAATCTTAGGAACTTCACCAACAAGTCCGAACAGCATTAATCAGGAAAATCCACAATTTGAAATATTCATGCAGTCAATAAATTTGGAATATTTCTTTTCTCCCACAAACAATCAATAGTCTTGCATTTAATTGATAAATCAATGAAATAAGTCATTAGTATCAGTTTCAATTTTGTAGCGGTGTTGGGGGTTCAATAAAGGAAAATGGTGTAATTGGAACTGGATTTATAACTCTTGGTTGTTCTGTATGAAAGTCTAGCTCTTTATATGGGTCGAAAATTTGAACTAATGGAATCACAATAGGTCGAAAACCATTCACAGATGAATCAAAAACTCTATTAACCGACAATGACTGCACTAATCTAGGGTTTTCACACGAAATTCTTCCAATGTCTAGTTCTAAATATGTGAAATGTCTATGAAAAAGATCATGTGTCTGAAAACTCATGTGATCTTCATTTATTCTTCAATTTTAGTGCCAATTTCAGCATCTTTGGCTATGCCTTTAATCTAAATAAACAATAAATGTATATATACACTATATATGAACTAAATATGTACTATTGCAATTTATTTATTGCCATTAATGTGGAATTATAGATTCACAAAATAAATTCGATGTATATTTCTTGAATGATGATAATAAAACTGCCTCTTTCTGTTTCCCCTATCCTCTTTAGTGTGACGTTGCCTTGTCATAGGCACGGCTACAATTTCCAAAGCAATTCACACTACTTCCTATCAAATTTCCTTTATGAAGACCATCAATTATTAAATTAATTATTCATAGCTTGTTATTGTTGTTATATTTGAATAGTTCAATTAGCAAATACTCTGCAGTTATCATTTTTACAGCACTTAAGTCACATACAATATAAAAATTTTGATACAAAACAAGAAAGTCATGTCAGTTAACAGTCATTCAGATGAGCTTTTTAAAAAGAAAAAAAAGTAAATAAATTGAGAAAAATAAATTTTGCAGCTGATTTTTACTTCCACATTTCCAGCAACCAAAACACACGTGTAAAAGACGCAAAAGAAGCAACACATGAGCTTTTCCAATGACTGGAAGTATTTCCCTTGCATCAACAGCTTTCGCATCCTCCGTACACTCAAAAAAGCTCATAACATATTAGTGAAGGGAATATTCTCACTGTGGAAGGAATTTCACAGCCGAGAGAATTTTATTTTAATTTTTTTGGTGTGGACGATACAGAAAAAAATTAAATAATCGCTGGTAGATTATCTTAGGCTTATAAATTAATTACCTTAAATGTAGTAACATTGCAAGGTGCTATAAAGCAAATGTCATAAGTACCTTTAGATATTTAGAAATCATATAAAAGACGGAGAAGAAAATTGAAAAAGAAAATTTTCATTTTTTTGAGAAAATGGCGTAAAATTTATTGCAAAAGGAAAATAAAGGAAAATTTTTTCTGTGAACTTGAAAGTTTTCCTTCATTAAAATTTTTTTATTTTGAGAAACTTCAATAAGCATTAACTTGGAGATTAAAAGTTGATCCACTATGAGTTATAATAGTTGTACTGGAGACCATTCCTTTTGTGGATATTGGGAGGTGAGTATTAGTTCTGATTGGTGATGGAATCAGTTGGATTAAGGAAATCGAGTGGCTTTGATATAAATTATGGAACTTAGTATTAGCATAAGTTTTTTTGTAAAATAATAAAGCTTCTAAGCTGTCCATAAAGGTCTTCTTTGTTTATAGGGCCATTCATTTGTGAAAATGACGCTTGTGACGTTTAACATTTAAGGGGCCATTCACTTATTACGTAACGCTTTTAGGGGGAGGGGGGTCTAAGATTTTGTTACGGTTCAAACAAGGAAATTTTTTTTTCATACAAATTTTGTTACGAGGGGGGGAGGGGGGTCTAAGAAGTCATTTTTTCGCGTTACGTAATAAGTGAACAGCCCCTAAGGCGTTGCATGAATTCTTAATAGACTTTTATAACACTCAAATTGTTCCTTTGTCTTGCATTGGCGTTCCTTAGGTATATTAATGTAGTTCTTTGGAATGCTTTAAATTGGGGAGTCAACAATAATGATGCAAAATATTTACTCAAGTTTATGGAGTCATGTAAATCTACAAGATACCTTCGTTCCAAAAAACATTTCACATCAAATAAAGGATGTAGAACACAACCATATAGGTCGTGAGATCATTAAGACGTCAATTCTAAACTAGCCTTTCTTCTAAAATCCCTTCAATAATTTCCAAAAGCTAGTTCCACTACATCCAGTCAACATCTAATACATTAGTCATTTCACATCCCCTTAACCCCCATCCTAAACTCCAACCTTTCATCTTTCTGTCACTCAAAAGATTCCTCATAACTTTGCATAATTCAATCTCAACCCTCATTTTTTCCAGATTACCGAATCACTTGACTTTCATTCCGAGGACCTCGGCTTATGCGGCATTAAATTCCTTCTCGACGAAGGCGGTGACATTATTTTCCTCAATGATTTATTCTCCCTTCAAGTGGTATCCATAAACGATGACCAAACATCACCAACGATTTGGTCATCAAAGGCAATGATTGAGGATGATAAATCAAAACTAAGTACTGGAAATGAGTCTGCTGACATTTTATTTTGCTGTGAAACGTTCGAAGTTGTTGCTTTGGATGTTGATCAAATGAGTAATGGTAATAATTCATCTACTGCTGCGGCTCTTCTCTTTAGATCCTTTACGGGACACCATATTGAATTTAGAACAAATACCATTAAGCCACTTGAATCAATGGAATTAAAATGTGAAGGTTTGTAAAGTGATTTTTTTGAACTTGCGTCATCACACAAAAAAGAAATTATCGAATTTTTTTCCTTCCTTTTTGTCTCGCTACAGGCTGGTGTAAGCTAACATGTAAGAGAATTAAGAAGGATCAATCGATTGGACAATCAATTCAGTATTCACTGTTAACAGCATTTGAGGAGAAATTCTTTAGTGATGTTGTGATTAAAAGTTGTGATGGATATTCGGTGAGTTGACTCTCCTTCTTGTGGGTTATTCACTTCTGATGTCTAATAAGGAGGAAAGAAGTTCTACAGCTGGAGACTCTTTATTAAAAGAATTTATTTAAAGAGTTTTGTATCTAAAAGAAGAGAAAATCAAAAACAATTTCTTTGAATGACGTCACTCGTGAATCATCCCTAGAAAATAATTATTTCAAGGATCTTCGATAAACTTTTAAAATCAATTAGCTTTAACTTTAATTCCTCATACTTCAAACTTAATTTCCAATTTTCTCTCTCATCCAAATTAAGTTTGAAGTGCATTCACCAATTTTACGGTTGAATGGATTCGATTGTAGCAGCTTAAACCAAACTCCTGTGTCAGCAACACCATTATCTGGCAGCATTCAATCATCGCAGCCACCCTCAAACTTCCTCTCACCACCAACCATTCATTTGAGTACATTCAACTTTTCACCAAACTTTGTCAATCACATCTCGAACTCATTCAATTGTTTGGCAACGACAAGAGATTCAAATTATCATTTGGCAGCACCATTGGCAACAAGCTTAAAGAATGGACAAATATCGTCATCAGATTCTCATTTGAATAATATCCAGCAAGACAGCACGAAAGAGAATATTTTTAATTTTCCATCGACGCAAGTTAATCAGCAGATAATGAGCAAGAAAAGTGAGCATAAACATAAACTGCGACTGTCATCATCACAAATAATCTTTAAAAATCCAACATCGCCATTTCGTGTACGCAGCAGTCCATTACCATTTTTGAATTTGTCAATTGATGTTCCACTTACACCATCGTCACCCCTTACATCCGTTTCGGTTCTATTTAATTTGACTAAAGACACTTTAGTGCCAGTATTACATTGGTTGTACAGTGAATCATTACCCCAGAATTTAAATGAGACACAACTGGAAGCATTATTAAAATTATGTGCCACAATTCCACCACTGAACAAGATGAGTGGACCTTGTAAGAAATATTTGAGGCTCATTAAGCTGAAGAAAGTTATAATTGATATTTTTGTGGACATTCATGAATGCTTGAATCGAATAGTTCAGCTTCTTAATCCTTACAACATTTCCAAATATCCATCAGCTCTGTGTGAAATTTTTAAACAATGTCTTCGTGAACTTTCCATTGGATTTGCTTTGTTCCTTCAACTTTCGCAAATTTTTTCAAAAGATACATTTTTAAATCGATTCCAACGCAATGAAATTATCAAGTTTGTTAAGTCACGCATTCCAATTGTAATTACTCAGTTACATCAGATTCTTCAAAATGTCTTGATGATTATTAAGTCGCTGCATCGTGAGGAGAAGGAAGAGTTGGTTATGTACTTAGTTCCTGAGGTAAGTGAAGCATTTATGTCTTGTTTGTAGCCCAACATATAAACTGTCAAATTGATGATTGAATCCTTGTTTCAGATAATCCTGGCATTAGACGTAACAACCGAGCTTCTAACAGATTTCAAAAACTCATTGGAATTAATATGCAAAAGTATTCAAAGTGATCAAGAAGAAACTTGCGGAAAACGCATGGATCAATCACATTCTAATGCTAGTGCCGTTTTATTTCTTCACGTATGTGAAATCAAGCAACTTCATGACATTTATGGAAAAGTCAATTCAATATTGGAAATAATTCAACATAAACAGTAAGTACATTTGCATATATATGTCAATATTATAGCAAGGCTGATGTATTAAGCCTAACTTTATTCAAATTTTGATAAGTCTAATTCCATTTCTATTAAAATTCTATTCAAATTTAGATTTACATTTAATAGTTTGAATCAAGCACAGAAATTGAGCTGTATCCACATCAACATAGACCATTTGCTGTTTGAAATTCCAAACGTGATTGAGAGGATTGAAGAATTATCGAGAAACATGGACGATAAATTCGGATGGAAGGAATTTAAATTTTGCTTTAAATTTGCCACAAGTCACATTGTAAGTTTGGATCCACTTCCCATCTGTAACACTACACAAATTCTAAACATTGCACGTGTCAAGTCATATTATTCACTTCTTCTTTCCTTCAATTACAGAACGGTATTCTCAGCAAGATACTTGAGCACAAGGCAACATTATTGTATCCAATGCTCAAGCTTACACAGCTGGTTAACAGAAACGCCTTTACAGAAGTTGTCCAAAAACTTGAACTGTTGCAAAGTGATGTAATCGCCAAAAATTTTGATCCAAGTGATAACGTAGATAGCGAACAAAAAATGATTAATGATTATAATAGCTATAAGATTAACATATTTAGTGGTCTTTGTGAACCTCCGAATGCTGTCAAATCAAATTTGGCTAAAAATTCTGTAAGCATCAGTTGACTTTTACTTCTTAAGGTTCAAACTAATTTTGTGCTTCTTTTTCTGTCTCATCTAAAGCTTAAATTACTTCACTCGGGACATCTTGCAGACATGGAATTTGAAGTCATAACAACGGTTGCCACAGATTGTCCAATTTCATATGCATCAACTCCTGTCTCAATTATTACACCACCGAACAATGATGAATTTGATTATAACGATGGAACTGTCAAAAAAGAGTATCATGTGTTTAAAGCCCATCGTGTGATAGTCGCCTCACGATGTGAATACTTACGGAAGGCATTGTTATCAGGCATGCAAGAGGACATCAATAGGTATGAATTAAAGGATTAATTTGATTTAATGTGCAATCCTTGGGGAGGGAATGAAGCTATGCATGTAACACGTGATTAATTTATGTTAAGGCTATGCTGATCATCTCAAAGCAATAATGGTGTTGTTAGGCTGTGTTATTCATGTCTCGATTTAGAACTAATATGAATCCTTTTATTTTGGAATTAAACCGATTAAACTTACTCAATGCAAAATTACTCTATAGATTAGAAGTCCAAATTTAGGATTAATCAACCCCGCCAAGTATTAACAAACCCTTTTATCATAATGCATTAAATTTAGATTCATTTCGTTTGAATGCTTTTGAAACAATAATCCATTCATAATTGCCACTGCATGCTCCTAATTTTTATTAAATGAATAATTTTATGATGGCAATTAGATTAATAATCCGATAGCTAGTAATCATAATTCACAGATATCTAATCATTTTATTTGACACAGGAAAATAACAATTTATGATGCATCACCTGTGATATTTCGACGATTTTTACTTTATCTGTATGGGGCACCAGTTGACAAAAATGTTGGACTTGAGTCAATTTGTGAGTTGATGCTGCTGGCTGATCGTTATTCAGTAGATAGTCTAAAGGTAAATAAATCCAATTTTTATTTAAAATAATATTATTCCGTGAATTATGCAGCAGTAATAATCGTATCCATTATATGATCATTACAATGTGACCTTTTTCCTGCCTTAATCTGTAATCTGATATGAAATTTCGATAACAATGATAAATGCCTTTATTACATTTACAGGAGGTTTGTGAGCAATCTTTAATGTCAATGATAGATATTGAGAGTGTAATTTGTATGCTGGGTATTGCGGATCGTTTTAATGCAAATACTTTGAAAACAAGCTGCTTATCGTTCATCTCGCAAAATGTGGAATTAACAAGTTCCGAAAGCTTCTCGCTCCTAACACAAGAATTGCAATCTGAAGTATTTGATTTGATACATTGGAGGAAGCGTTGTACAACAGACGCATGGAATAGCTTATCATCATCACGTTATGATGATGCGTTGAGATCAAGGCATTCACTGAAGTCACCATCGAGACCTTCAAAGTCAAGAAGTCGAAAATCATCACCAAATAGTTATCATAAATGATTGAAATTTCTTCTCTTCTAGATAAATTTATATTTAATGACAGAGTTTAAGCACAGACAGATGAGTTTGGCGATGAGTATTTTCACGGGTATGTTTGATAAATGGCAGCTTTCTGTTGATGATCAGGGTGCTGAACTCTTCTGCCTTCATTTAAATTTATAAGATTTTTTTGTTCTCAAACGCCACTTAAAAACTAGGGCTGCCTACGTTTTATGATTTGACAGTCATTGGTGTATTAATGATGCAAATTTTTTTAATTAGACATATGCTTAAGAATCTGAATTATTATTTAAAAAGCAATTACCAACATTTTCAAAAACGCAAGAGTTTAGTTCATCAAACAGTTCTATGATAGCTGATCAAACCTAGAAAATACAATATTAAATTTTTTTGACATTCAATAATTTCATCATTCTCACTCTGTCTGGCTCAGACGCCTCCTTAAATCCAGGTCTTTTTGTTTTTCATAGAAAAAAACTTGCTATAACTCTGCTTAACGCAAAACACTGGGATAAAATTGGTAAAGATATTTGTGTGTGTGTGGATGTTCGTGACAAAGAAAAGATGGTTTAAATAATTTTTGTGTCATTAATGAACTTTCTTCCTTTAATTCCTCCTTATGTCTTTTTTAAAATGACAATCAATGCAAATTTGAATTAAGAAGAATAACACAAAAAAATGAATTAAGTTTTGTGGAATTAATTTAAATGCTAAAAAAGAGAATGTTAAAAAATTAAAGAAAATTTTCAATATTGATTGAATTTTGAACGTTTTTAAATGTTTTTTAAAACCCAAAAGTTGAATGACAAACTGGTCTTGACGGTAATTTATTTTGTCCACGCTTATGAGAATCCCAAAAGTATTTTGAACTTTTTTGCTAAGGACTGGAGCTAAACAATCATCAAAAGTTCCCTAAAGCCCCCAAATATCTTCCATCAAACAAATTTAAAGAGAAACTAACATAAATCTATTTTTGAATGTGAATGTTGATGCAAAAGCATGTGACAACTTTTTCTTCCCTTATTTTTCATCCCGAAAAGCACATCCATAGGTTATTTAAATGATGAGGTACATAAACGACTCTGCTAGTAAAATTGCTTTTACAATTTGACAGTTTCGAAATTTTCTAATTGCTATTGATGCACAGAAATCGTATAAACATTCGATGAGTTCCAGAAAGGCATCATCTAAGTACCTCCTAAGTTGTGCTTTTCAGGATGGATTTACAAAGTTTTTTCAAATAAAATCTGAATTTTTAAAAATGGAGTTAATTTTTTTTTGGAATGTTCGTGAAAATAAAAGTTGAAATTATAAATAAAACTGATATGCAGGCAAAACAAACGGCAAACGAGAAACATTTAGATATGAATTTGTCAGGATTCCATTTAATTGACCTAATTTGTCTTACTTTGAAACTTTATAAGGTCACATTAAAAAAGGGAATAGAAAAATTCAGCTCCAAATGCATCAGAAAATGAAGAAAAAAAAATTATAATAAAATCAAATGAATAAATTAAAAATAAGAGCGTTTTAATGAACTAATAATGTAATTAAGCGTAGAGTTGGAAACTATGGAAAGTGATTTTTTTATGAGAAAGTTAGACCAGAGCTGAATAAAGCTAATTAGATGTAAAAAATGAAAAATTGTCTTAATGATAGCAGGATATACCAGAGCTCGAAGTCAATGAAATTTTGTATGGATGTAAATCGATGTAAATCTTGAGTCGTGCTCGGAGATAAACTCTTTAAACCAAGGAAACACTATCATGGCACGCAACTGGCTTCATAATCAATTGGCAGGTATAAGACTGTCATTTCTATGTTAATCGTGCATCTAAACGGCACAAGCATTTTTTTTTGCATTAAAAACAACAATAAAACATCCAAAAAATTCAACCGTCAACCTACATCACCATCCATAAAAGTAGAAAATTAAAATTCATTTCCAAAAGTAGTTTCCAACTCTAATGTAATTACAATTTTCAGCTAAAAATAATCATTTCCTCAATTATTTTTCTGTAACAGTTACAATCATTTTCATATTCATCCATTCACCATTACATCGACACATGCATTCCAGTGCTTAATGGAAATAAAATCAGAGCTTGCGCAATTTAAAAAACTTCCTTCCAAAAACGTCTGCTTTCATCGAATGCTTGCCACAACATTTGAGCTGACTCAATCCAGTCTGATTTGAACTTTCGCTGTGATCAGTTTCCATCGTACGAGAGGATAAGAGGTGTGTGTTGTTTTTTTTTTCACATAGAGTAATCTACACATACATACACAACTCTATAAGAATGAGGAAAAATATTAATTTTTCTCATTTCTTGACGGCCTTTGAAGTGCAAAATTTATAAACCTTTCATCGTTTAATGGCCGATAATGTGATTGAACTTAAAATTGAAATTTTATTTTGAATCAAAGAAGAAAAAAAAATCGAAAAGAAAAAGAAGAAAGAAAAAAAATTGAGAGAGAAAATTTCCCATCATTACTGAACTTGTGTATGGAATTTTACTTTCTCATTTCCACAAAGAATTGAAATGAGAAGAAATTTTTTATATGTGTGTACGCACACAAAGCTCTAATAGAGTGTTGTGCCTCAAATTGTTCATTTTCCATTAAAACATATCAAATATTTTTCCACATAATTCATCAGCACATAAAAGAAGGTTAAGAATGAACTTGCGATATATGTTAAGCACTTAGGAACGAGACATATGTTTTAATTTATAATGTAAATATTTTGTTTTCAACCAAGGAGAGGAAATAATGGTGGAACTTGTGAGAAAATCAAGTTCAAGGCAAACTAGCTTCCAATTTGAAATTGAAAAGGAGTTGGGGGAGTGATATAAATGGACGAACTAGCATAGATTCTATTAATGGTTTATTGAGCTGAAATCATTTTTATAATCAACATTTTGAAATCTTTCTAAATAAAATTCTGGCAATTAATGAACTTTGTCAATGATCTTTGGAATTATTAAGAAAACAGATTTGAATGAGAGTCGAGCTAACATCTTTATGACAAGAGAGTTCGGCAAAAATAAGGCAAAAAGTTCAAACCAAAGTCGACTTTCTTTGCAGTTGGTCAAAATGGGTTTCTATGGATCGACGTTTCTTTAAAAATTTCTTCTTTGTACGAGAAAAATGACAGCTTTAGACTTCTTGCAAATTTTTTCAAATTTCTAATTTTGCTAGATTCTGGCCTTTTTCTTACAAAACATCCAAATGCCTACATTTTAGGAACTTTTGTTGCTTGCATTTATATATAGTTATCATCTTCTATTTGTCTAAATATCAAGATCCTAAATTTAATGCTATAATTATAAGCAAATAGCTTTGAGGATTTATTCATCAATAATGTCTAAAAGAAATGACTAAGCAAATACAAAACCTTCAAAATAATACCCTCTGTTTCTGGTCACGTACTTTGAAATGCAGCTATGAACTTTATCAAAAATTATTGATCAGTCATTCTGAAATAAGTTCACAAAACATTAAACAACCTTTGATACCTTTCACTAATAAGACTTTTGTATGGAAGTGTCAAAAACCAAAAATCCCCCTCCTTAGAAAATATTAGTCGATGGTATACAGCTACAAAAATAACCTAATTTTCATCAATTTCCTGCTTACTCAGCCATCAATTCTCCAAAGAACCCCCGAAAAAAAAAAACTTTTATTTCATGAAGTCATTCCTTCCGAACTTAAAACTCAAACAATAATAAGATCTCATTATCAGAATATTCCTTAACCATTTCCATCAGTATTTTCTTCCCTCGTCTGACACCGCAAAAAAAAAGAAAAGCCGAGAAGTTCGCGATATTTTTCATACAATTTTCCATTCCCATCTGTAAAAGTCGCTGTAAAGATAAAATATACAATCTCATTCATTTCACATGTTCGCATTTTTTTTATATTCTTTCTTATTCTTTCCTCTGACTGTACATGGAAAGCAATTGGCGAGCACTTGTGAGATGATGATGAGATTGTGGGGAGGGTAAAAAAGAGAAACATTAAGCTTAAAAATTGTGGAAATTAATTAAAACTTTTACTTTATATCATATCAGTCAGGGTTGTTGTTTATTGAATGAAAATGAAAAATTGCGTCATTTTGAATTTTTCATCATCAAGCAAAAAAAAAAGTTGTGATAAGTGCAGCTTCATTGAAAATGTTTGTTAAAGAAGTTTATCTATCGACATAACGTTGTGAATGCTGAGAAGATATTCAAAACTTTGTTAATAATAAAGTAGGTTTATGCTTCTAATGAAATAACTTGCATTACGACTCTGCAAGTTGTGCCTTTTTTATTTTGAAAGCATAAAGTTCTGTAAAAATATTGAAAATTTATGGAAATTAGGAATAGAAATTTTTTTTCTGTATCTTTTTGTAGAATAATTTATAAATTTGGCTGTCGTCTTGATAATTTGATTTTGTTGTAAGTAGATCTGATGAATTTTAAAAACATTTCATCATATTATTTTCATTACTTTTGGAAATAAACTGATTTTATTGAAGCATAGAAACTTACTTAGAGATCCAAAATCATATAAATTTATTTAATTTTTTGCAATTTTACTGTGTCAAACAATAATCGTTATTTAAAAATCAAACTTTAAGTTAAAGCTTACAAAAATTACACACATTCAAGCAATAATAGTTCAAAAGGAGGTTAAAGTGCTCGAGGATAGCTGATATGATCCATTAAGTTAAAATTATGAGAAAATCAAATTTAATAAAAGTTGCAACTGCCTTTTTTTTCAGTTCAATCGAATTAGTGGTTTTCAAACTGTTTGCCGTGGCACATGAATGATAGTAATGTAAAAATGTGTGCCATGAACCAAAAAAATTTGAGAAATACTGAGTAAATGCTGATGATTTAATAAATTTAATTATTAATGTAGACACTCCTCATAGAAGAGGCACAAATCATAGCTAATCGAATCAAGAAAGCCTGTCATTTCCAAATTAAGGCTACCACTTATTTACTTACTTTAATGACCTTACAGATCAATTGTGATCCATAGCCTACCTCAGATGCCGCCTAATTGCTAATGGCTACCACACTTAATCGAATTATTTGTTATTTAAGTGATTTATTTGCTTTATTAAAATCATCAGTTGTTAAAATTTTAAAATAAACTCTAAAATGAACATTTTCTTAAAATTATAATAAATAATGCAAATTCCGTGTCACACTGAAATGTCGACGATCGGCTTATTAAAAAGTCAAATTATTAATTCATTTCACAACTGTCGATTTTCTCTTAAAAAGTGTCTATACATTAAAAACTCAAACTTGATGCCATTGCAAAAAATTTCCCATAAAATAAATGAAATATTAAAACAAAAGAATCAATAAAAAATTGCTTCCAATGAAAAATGACAAAATGTCAATGAATAATTAATGATCCAACCAGCCAATGAACTCGATTAAAATTTACTTGCTTTATTGCAACAAAAACCGATTACTTTTTAAAAAAGGAGACAAAGCACCTAAAAATTGAGAGATTAAATTTTAATGAGCTCATAGAAAGGTTAAGAAATCTAGCCCCAAGGTAAATCCATCTGATAAGGTCAATAATTATTAACCACAAAGTTTTTCTCATTCTCAAAACAACTCTGTGAGTATTCCTTATGATATAAAGATAAATAAATGTGAGGGATCGAGACATAAAGTAAGAGAAAAGTTCCGAGATAAGAATTTCTTTTTTTGGACGCTGTTCGTAGATTTTGTAACATTTTATGAGATAAGGAACGTTCAATATTTCGAAGTTTTATGATTCTTTGAATTTATCGTGTTAACTTTATTCCTAGATGTAAAAATTTGAGCATTACGTAACATCCAATTGAACCCCATTCCCATCTTCATCTACAAAAAAAAAGTGTAATGTGTGTTGGTGAATTTACACATAAATTACAATTTTTATCGTCTTATTTTTCCATTGGTATTTTTATGGGAAAGCTGAGGAACAAAAAAAATATTTTATGTGCACAATAGCGTAATTAATACTTTTTACGTGATAGAAAAGAAAAACTCTTTCGGTTTCTCTCATTTCTCATAATAAAATTTTGAAAGAGAATACTTTTGTGGATGGGTGTGAATGGTGAAAAGCAGGAAGTTTTTATTATGAATGGAGTAAGTTGGTAGCTTAAGGTCAGTTTGAGAGAATTTTTGATCAAAATTTTAAATAAGTTTTCTGATTAAAGTATGGATTTATGAGCAAAATTTTGCTCTATAGTAAAAGTTAAGGGTGATGTTCATTTGCTTTTTGTGGGATGGATGGACTGACAAATTGAAAAAGATCAAACAATTTTAAATGGAAAATGATTACCTGGTTGGTGAAGAGGTCTTAAAAAATGTGGTAGGAGGAGGGAGTTGCTGCTTCTGTTCTAAAACTATAAATATCAGCTTAAAACTATCCACTGAGATGTATTCCTTAATATTCTTCCTGTTGAAAATACAATTAGTTGACGTTAATCTTGCTTTCAGTTTTTGAAAATCAAATATAAGTCTCGATACAGTTGCCGACATTAGAAGCACTTCAGTTAAGTTCTAGACATACACTAGCAGTCATAATATTTGAGAAAGCTTACTGTAAGTCCATTGCTTTCCAAAAACCCCAAAATTCCAAGAAAATACATTAAATTATTAAAATTAGACACAAATAAGCACATAAATCACCGTAAATCTCTAAATAAACAGAATAAAAATATCATAAAAAATCCACTTCTACAATCTTTGAATACTTTTCACTAAAAGTTGAGTAAACATCCAAAATATGGCCAACTCCACATTCTTCCTTCGGAAAAAGTAGTAGAAAGCACCGAAAATATAAAACATATAAATTATTTCACGAGCAATAAACGCACATTTTTTTAATATCTGATTTATGATCGTCGCTTATGTTTGCTTTTATTCTCTACGTCATTATACAATTCATATTTTCGTCTTTAAGGAATGCCCTTTTTCACATAGCACGATAAGTTTCATGTTTGTTGATCTGAATGTGTGTCAAAAATATATATATTTTTTTTTACATTTGATAGAGGATTATGGGAAGTGATACAAAAGAAAGGAATAGAAAATATGATTATTGAAATTGTAGATATAAAGCAGGGGCGTAGCCAGGGGGGGGCCATAGGGGGCCCGGGCCCCCCCTACGAAAATTTGATAATTGTTTTATTAAGTATTTATAGAGAAGAACCAGTTAATGTAGAGGAAGTGATGAAAGAAATTTCAAAATCACCACGAAAAATTAAATTCAATGTATGAATAATGAATTAAATATTTAAACTTATGAAGAATGAATATAGATTTAAGGATACAAAATAACGTTTTTTTTAATTTTCGAAAATGGGCCCCCCCTTAAAAATTTTCTGGCTACGCCCCTGATATAAAGGATTAGGATGGAAGGTTTATGAGGAAATAAGGCTAACGCTTTCGAAGATTTATTGGAATTCTGGAATTGAAATTTTCTTATTTTTTTGTTTTTCGATTTTTTAAAAATCCGATTGTTTGTATGCATAAATGCTTTTGAATTTATCTGTTATAGGTTAAGTCGGGCATGAAATTAAGAAAATCAGGTAGTCATGCCGAATAAATGTTTGCAAAAATTGAAATTCTAGGAAAATTAGGGTTCAAATATTTAATTTACCTTTTAAATTCTCGATAAATTGGATTTTGCTGATTCTTTTTATTTTAATATACATGCCAGATAATATTTAGCAACCAGGGATAAATAAGGAACTTTTAAGGAAATAGTAATTAGATCAATTGTTATCCAGAGTACCAAAAGAGTTTGAATCTTCATTGACATCCTTGCAATAATCCATAGCTTTCCCTATATTCAAGCTTGTAATATTCAAATTCAATTGAAATTCGAAAACCCAGGCAATATACTTCATTGGAAGTAAACTGATCTGCAAAATTCATTCATAAATTTTAAGCCAAGAAAAGTTTGCAAAACTTCTGCAATTATCTTATTATATCCAACCAGACGTTTGTAATCAAATGACTCACATCAATAATTACAAGTTCCAATTATTTCCAGACACAAAAAATTCCAATCCAATTGCTTATCTCATAAAAAATTACTCCCATCATTAGAAGTCATTTTACCACTTATATATGAAAAAAGTAAAAAGAATCAATAGTCACGACCCAGTAATTTTCCAACAGTCAATAATGACTTATTCATGTGAAACAAACAAAATAGAACAAGGAGGTAATGTTAATGTTGTGTGTAATGATATTTAGAAACTTTATATTTGATTAATTGACTTTAATAAAAATTAAACATCCGATTATCGGGAATGAATGATTAAACATTATAAATAGGAATGCAAGATAAACAAACTAATGGAAAAATGAAAAGGTGTGACTAGTTGGCATCCTAAATGCTTTAAATTTAGAATCAGGGATCAGGGTCAATTAAAAGTTAAGTTAGGGGTCGTTCACTTATGACGTCCGAATTTAACGGTCATTTTTCATAAAAGAACAATGGATTTCCAGGAATTTCTATTGTTCTTTTCTTGCTGACCCCCCCCCCCCCCCCCCCTGGACGTCATAAGTGAATGGCCCCTTATGAATTTTACAATTCTTCCGAAATGTTCTAGTCAAGTAGCTAAATATGCTGATTCCACCTTGAATGAAATCAGTTCTATTCTCTATAAATCCCAAGTCAATATTCCCTAGTTACACCTCTTTGCCCAGCAAAAAGCATTGGAATTGAACGTAGACAGCCAATTCGTATCTCAGTTTTATCGATTATTAGCTTCCGTAGCGAGCATCTGCAATAAAATACGAATGGAAGAGAAAATATTCAAGCTTCAAATATTTTTTTTTCTATACGGAAGCTGGAACTGAGCGATGAGAAAATAGAGTTATTTTTAACACAATAGAAATTCTGAATAAGAATTTTTCCGAGCGTGACGAAATAAACTGTAAGGAATGAAAAAATGAAGATATAAATCCATTAAGTATTATGAGAATAAAAAGAAGAAAAATTCATTTTGCCTTTTGTTCAAGCTTTTTTTTTCATGAAATTAAAGGACAAAAGAAGTAGAAAATCGCATGACACACGTGTGATACATGAAGACGTGTTGTAGAACAAATTTTTCATGCTTTTTTTGAGCAAAAATGTGTCATTTGAAGATGTTAGCATTAGTTGCGTAATCAAATAAGGGAGATGCATTGCCTTATGATGCTCAAAGTGAGGATTTTTATGGAAATTAGGAATTTTTGAAAAAGGTGTTATTAAAGTTTTTAAGGTTGAATGTTTATCCTAAAAGTTTATTTTTTATTCCTTTGATGTGTAAATTCTCTCATATACCGCATGTATTGGGTACTAAAAATTGTGAAGTTTTAGTGGCTTTAGAGAAATTGTGCTGTCTTAGTGGACCCATAAATATCGTGACCAATGTGTTTATTTTCGTCACACTGACATAACATTACATGTCATGATTGAGAAACTGAATTCTGATGGGATTGAAACTCACATCTTCACAAAAGAAAGTTACAGATTTTCTTCCGACTCAACACAGTTCCTTGATATAGCTCTATACCCCAGATAATTCAAAACGACAATTTTCAAAATAACTAGGGAAAATGAATAGCACACTGATCTAAGCTATTCATTCTTAAAAAAATTAAAGAAGTCCCCGTGTTATTGATCGAGGGACTTAAGTGTATTTTTATGTTAGCGATCAGTATTTCTGGATGCACCCTGATTACAATTTTTACAGCGGTAGAAAATAATTCAATTTTCTAAACGCACCCGTCACGTGTTTTTCATATGAAATAAAAAAATCATTAATTAAAGTACAAATAGACTGTATTAAGACTTTTAATTGTTCGGCCGGCCAATAACTCGATAGAACTGAGCTAATAAAACAAACCCGAGCTCTCGACGATGTCTAGTTAAAAAGTTTTTCTTGCGCCGAACAAAATGTATTATTAAGCTACCTTTTTAGAAACAAGTTTCAAAAATGCGCTAAAAAGAATTTTATCTTATCCAAACATCAATCGGTTTCTTCAAATCAAAGTATTAATCGTTCAATTCTTCATGCCACAACTATTTACTAATTTCATTGTCAGTTCAAACGATGTTCAAAATTACAAGCTTCCTGTTGGAAATTTCCACAAATGTCTTGAATCTAATTAGACTTTACATAGGAATATATATTGTATGAATTTTTTACTTAATTCAATTGTTGCTAAACGCGCAGCAGGTTGCAGTTTACCTGATTTTGAAACGAAAGAATTTCGTTTGAATTAATAATAAAATTGTATTGGATTGGCTAAGAGGGGTTGTGGGGCTTAATTGAGGGACTATGTGGAAAAGTCTAAGATTGTAGTGTGATCAGTTCGTACCGAATCAGTCACACATTGAAATGCTTCAATGTGTTACCGATCGGGCACAGTTCACACATGAGTACATACACAAGTTCAGGAATACGATTAGGTCGAACTCATAAATATATTCAAATAAGAATTTATCAGGAAAATTTGACAATTCACAAAAAATTTACTACACAAAAGATCATCAAAAAGTGGATTGTGTTACAATTTAGAGTTAAAGTTGATTTTAATAGACACTGACTAGTGTTGACTCCTAGTTACTATTAGCACCAACATGAACTCTAAGTAGTGCCTCAATCCACGTTTTATGATTCATTGAAAAAGAATTCACACAAAAAACATTCAAAAATTCTTTTCAGGTGAACTAATCATCTCGTAAGTGGAGAAAATAATTAAAATACAATTTAAAACACTGTAAAAAAGAGAAGAGAAGTGAAGTGAAAATCAAAACAAAATTTTTTAAAGAAAAAGAAGAAAAAAAAGTTTAAACAAAAAAGAAATTCAATTCTAATGAAATAGAAGGAATATAAAGAGTCAAAATAGTCAGGGCATTGAAGTGTGTTTAAAGAAAAGAGTTCGCGAACGATAACAAAATACGATCGTAAAACCGACAGCAGAGGCGGAAGAAGAAGCATAAAAAAATACAAAAAAAAATTGTGTGCGAAGAAAATTTAACGGGATCTTAGTTTCCCATAAAAAATCCTCCGACTGATACAAAGTGGATGTTTTAAATAACATTTTCCATAGCGATGGTACTAAAAGGATAAATTATTGGTGAGTAGCATTATATGAAAATTGCAATTTAATGGATATATAATTTTTAATAATGTGATTTTTATGTGAAATAATATTGATGAAATGAAACTTTATCAATTGGAAAATGTTCGTTCGTTCTCATGCTATTGCGACACTTATGGATGATTTTCATGCTGTGATTCTCTTCGTGTCACCTTGAGATGGAGTTTTATAATGTTGAAAAATTTTATGATAGGAACTGACAGAAATTGATTGAATGGAAAATTATTTGGAAAATTTTAAAATTATTTTCTTCCTTTTTTGACTTCATTGTGGGAAATTCATTTTAGAAAAGATGGAAAAGATACAAAAATGCTTAAAATGATAAGTAAATTCAGCTTTAACTGTTTATATGAACACTCAATTTTGTAGTATGTTGGATTTACAAGTCAGTTTCAAGTTCTACATGGAGTAACTATGTCTAGATCTACTGTGGAATAAAATAATGCTCTTGTGACTTTGTTGTTTAAATAAAAATTAACTTGCGTATCGGCAGGGTGACTTTTAACGTAGATTTTGAACCTGGACCCAGTTTTTACCTCAAAAAAGCTAAATTACTTACTTACTGTAAGTTAATTGAATTGCAGTGCCTACATATGAAAGGCTGGGCCCTTCACATATTATTATTATTATTATACTTACTGTGAACCATCTTCCTATGTGGAGCATAGGTTATTATTTATATGTAGACGTTACCGTCCGGAAGAATTAGTATTTATACATGTTTTACTTTTTACATTGATTAATGATACATTTCATATCACTATGGGTGACGTAGAATCAAGCTTCTAATCTTCAAATCTAGGTTTCGATTAAATTCAGGCTCTCGTTTCAATCTTCTGTGGGCGTGCCGTGATACATTTCAGGTCCGTTCTGACAATATTCCATTATAAGGTAATCTTGTAGCTCTCGTTCCTATTTTTCCCGCTACACTTCAAGTTCCTGATCCGTTTCTTAATCCAACGTTGCCCAAAATGCCCAATTATGGCTTGATCTCGTACATTAAGCAGTCGAAGGATCTAAACTTCTGAAAAAGAACAAATTTGGAAATGGCTGGATTCGAACCGACGACCTTCGAGTTACCATACCAAATTTGAGCCAAGCGCCTTACCTATTCGACCAGCAAGGCACTTAACTGCTTATAACAAGGTTACAACAAAAGACTTTCCATCTGACTCTGTTGCTGGCTCCTTCCCTAGTTTGTACAACTTCTCTGTACGCACAATGTGCTGACATTCTTTCATCACTGTTTTCATACAAGTAGCTTTTTGAGATCCTGGGCGTCATTTTCCTTGCAGATACCAACCAAGGGCGATGTAAAAAACTTGTGGAAGTCAAAATGGCAATGGTTGTCAAATTGTGTAATGTAAGAGTTTTAAAGTTGATCTACAGGTGAGATTGGTGTCAAAAACTTAATTAATTTTAAATTTATCTGAATTTTTATGGGTTTGTGAGGAAAAAAATCTACAAGCCCCCAAAAATTTTCGTAGACTTTTACCTTGAACTTATCTATCTTCGCCCCCAAAATATAGACTTTAAAAACCTTTTTTGAATAAAGGATACGGAACTGATAAATTATATAATTGTATGAAATGTAATTTTTTTGCCATGACGGGGCTCTGGCATACAATATAAATAAAAATAATAATAATAATAATATTTTTTATCATTTTATCAGTTCCGCACCCACCCTAGTTTAGAATGTAATCAAACAACAAAAGAAAATTATTAAAACTTTCATCTTTATTGATGAACTTGTTTCTCCAAATTAAAAGCTATAAAAAGTACAGAATTTTCTTTAAAAACCTCAAAACTTTAAAACTCTATAAATTTTTTCATTGCACCTTGTGCTTGTGCTAGAAAACAAAATTCGCAATGAATTTTTTTTCTTCTTTTGGAAACCACAAAAAAATGTGAGCTTGAATTTCTATAAATAAATACAATTTATATTTACGTGTGCTTTTGACAATAAATCACTTTTTAATGAGTTTTTGTAAATAAAACCCGCAGAGGTAAGCTGTGACTTTTATTAAATTCCTATTCTCAAAAGCCAAATTGCTATTAATAGAATTATTTAAATGAATTATTTTCAACTCATTTTTATTGATTTTTTTTCGTGATTGAATGAACAACTTTTTTTTGCTACGTAAAAAATGTGGATTTCACGAAAGAAAAATTTCGTATTCAGTAAGTCACAAACAGAATATCAAATTGAATATTGAAGTATTTTTTTTTGTCGTTCAGAAACTTCTCAGAACTGTCATTGAATTTTAAATTGTTTTCTATATTTTCATATCTATATATGCTGCAAAAGTACATAGTGATACTCATATAGCATATTAAATGTTCATAAAAAAATATAATTTATAAACAGAATAAACAGAGTGAATGCAAGAAAGTATCATAAATCCTATAATCATGAGTGAAAATTCATTTCAAGTTATATAACAGAATATTCTTTTCTTTTGCTTGCTTGAGAAAATGAGGTTTGCAAAAGAGCCTGTAAAGTGTTGAATAGCGCAGTTCCAAGATGTTTGAATTTTTATGGGATTATTCACTATTGTGGCTTAAGTTGTAGAGTTTTAAAAAAAAATATTTAAAGGGTTTTAATGAGCATGCAAAGGTCCTTTATGTCCTAAATATGACTAAGTGCTCTCTTATTAAGAATTAAGAATTGAGACTATTAGTCTCATTTTAATCAAAAAAAAATCCATTCAAATCAAAAAAGTCTTTCCAGCAACTTAGACAGACGAAATATAATCAAAAATCACCCTCACAGTCTTTCATAACTTCCACAACTTCTTCTTTCACATGTATCATCTGTCTACATACAAATTTCTATTCTTTTTCTTTTCCTTCATAATATGAAAAAAGCAAAAAGCAAAAAAAGAAAAAATGATGAGAAAAACAGCGACAAGAAAAGAAAGTATGTATTGCACACAAATGTCGTATAAGAAGTGCTATAGCAAAAGAGCTCAATTGCCACAAGCAATGTATAAAATTAATGTTTGATGTTGTCGTTCGAGAGAATAGAAGGGTGTGAGAAGAGAAGAAAAAAGCGTTAAAAAATAATCATAACATTATGAATAAAAGAAGTACGAATATGTGATTCAATCAATTTAAAGGTTTGATGCAGTTTGATGCGCATTTTTGATAGATCTGCTCGGATTTTTAATTTTCTAGAATAGCGAGAATTCGATCAAATTTAGTACTTGTTCGTTTGAGCATATACTTCCCCTTAGCCATTAGCTTCCTTGATAAGAACGTCCAGGTGGAGTGTATCACTTTTTGGGTATGCACCTAGCATCGAGTAAATCATTTATTCATTTTACTTTGACATGGATCAACAACCCAAAATGTCTTGATACCCACATTGCTTTAAACTATGCTAATAATGTTGAAAGGAAACAGCAGCCTGAAAAAAAGGCGGTATAGATAAGAGCTAATGAGGAGAGCTCCTTATGAAAATGTCTTGTGTGTCTCCCGGGGGTTGCTTTCAAGGTACTCGATCTCAATTTTTATTTTCAAGATTGCTTAACATTCCCTCCATCTTTCTCTCCCACATAGCTTTAGAACTTACATAAGTCATCATTTTTTTCTCTCTTCCTTCATGAAGAAGATATTGTTAATATAAAGGCATTATTTGCAACGGAGATTCTCATGTCATTTGCAATTTAAGCATAAATTCTGATTTTATCATCATGTTCTTATCTATGTTTAAATTTTTAAAAATATAGTCGTGCTTATTATGTTGTATGAAATGATGAGGTTTTGGTTTATTATATGGGTAAATAGACGGTTTTGTGAAGATTCTGTCATGAGCAGTGGCATTTGTGGGAACTTTCTTTAATTTGATCGTTAAAATGCTTTAATTTATTTCGCTTAGGAGGGGTCCCGATTTTATAAATATTTAAGTTTTTGGTAGAGAATCTGCACATATGATTGTAAGGTCGCTGTGGTGAAATGTTAAGGAACCAAACGAGATATTTTAGAAGTCCACTATTATTCAAGATATTATGGAAACCGATTTGCAATCATAACACAGGTTTTATCGATACGATACATTAAACTGCATAGTGCCTCAATTTTTCTATATGACTATGTCTGACTGACAACTCTTCATGAGATTCGGAAAAATTATTGAAACTTTCCAAACAATTTGAAGTTTTTGAAACAGTTGAACATAGTTGGTCTCCTTTCTTTTAAAATTTTAATAATCATTCATACTTAACAAGTTCCTGCACAGTTAACTGTCAATTTTCACAACATGTGAAAGTAATGAAGTAATTTTAAGCTTTCCAAATCACATATCATATCATGTCTAGACAAATAACGATGATAACAAATTTATCCTTTACATTGAAATTGCTTGAAGTTGATTCCAATGAAATGGCAGGCACGGTTTTTGCTGTATAGAAGTCATCAAGGATTGTGCATGCATATGAGATTGTTGATAGGCGAAAAGGTAGATAACAGGGAATATCATGGTTAAAGTTGAGTATGGATTGAATAATAATGTACATCCAAGTCACGTCATGTGTAAAATAAACCCCAAAGGATGGAGAAACCTCCATAAAGTTCAATAATTTCTACCATAAAAATAATGACACTAACCTACATAATTCAAATCATATCCCATCAATTTCCACATTATCACTTCTATAACATCCAATTAACTTCAAAAGTGCATTAATTCATCCTTTACCCCTAATATTTACACATCAATTCACACTGCAAGTCAAATATAATCACAAAGTATTCTGTTTTTTTAAAAATAAACACATCACATAGACGCCAAAAAGCTGTTTGTCATAGGATATAAAAATCACATCTTTTTCTATATCACCAACGACATCAAACGATCAAAAATGATACAGCATTGAACTTTGTTCTCTTTTATTTTATTTTCATTGTAATCATCATAGTGGAAATAGATTCTCATGTAATTTCATTCAATATTCATTCAAACATTTTTTGTT